CAGTGTTGAACATGTGATAAACCCAATTGAGTGATCAAAAATTAGCGGCTAAACCACGGCGATGTAGCAGACTACAGGACTTTGAACATGCAAAGTCTATTAGGCTGGTCTGAAAATGAAAAATGAGCGTGAGAGCATGAAGCCATATTTCCCCTGAGGCCAAGAGCATGACAGTCAGCTAGTACACACGATCTGTGACTGTGAGGGAGAATACGACTGTCTGCCAACAACAAATAAACAACACTTTTACTTTGGTATTAGCCCGTGTTTACCATATATTTAATTCTGTCTGGATAAATAATGTAAGACAGTTCAAAAGCCAATAATTAATACAATGCAGAAGAAAGACTTGCTGGATTAATACATTCTGCATCATTACATTCAAGCAAATGGAAGCGGGAGGGAGGAGAATCTACTCCCTCGTACTCCCTCATCCTCCCCCTGTACGCCGTGTTTGTCCATGTGTCTGAAAATCTTGCTGCAGTGCAATTTATCTGTCCCAGGCTCTTCTCCGAGGCTCAGCTGGATTCTTTACGCTTGTCTATTTTCATAAATGTGCATATGCGTGAATGTTTGTACGTGTGCGACATCATGTGGGAGGAGACACTGCGTGTTATTTTTTACTGACTATACGCAGTCAGGTGGGATTAGACCACAATTTACGACTGATGTACTTTATGAATCATACCAACAACAGATTTGTTCCCCCTGTTTGTAGTGTTTGTACATGAGGAAATATGGTCTAATCACAGATTACATCTCTCGGTGGGAGACTACTCTGCACCATATAACAGTATGCGCCACATCTACCCTAATGTAGGAAGAGGGTCTCTGTTTCAATCCCAACACACCTCCTCCAAAGCCCTCTTTGCTGCTCAGCACAGTTTAACTACCCAACTGACTCGAGTATAACAAGTATCTGGCCATCTATGACGCCGTTGAATTACAAGACCCGGGTGAAGTGACCTAGCAAAGCTTGGTAGTGTATTTGATGTTATGGCAATGCACAAGCATGAATGTTAGAATTGAGGAGCAATTGTCAAGTGTGAAGTGGAGCTGTGGCAATTGAGACGTCCATCAATGTCCACCGCATACTGACAGACGGACACCTTGGAGAGCTCGCATGTCTGCTTTTCTGATTACCTGCCGCGCAATAATCACCAGCGAAAAAACGGAAAAAGAAGGCAAGAGGAACACTCAACAGGCAGACGGCCGTTACCATAGCAACAGGCAAACTGTACTGCAACTATCAATTTGATTTCCTCTGTGGCTTTTTCTATAGGAGTGACGAGGGACGAGTCAATGTCTTAACATAAGACATTAAGATACATCATGCATACTAATATTCAGAATTCCCCTTCAAGATGCCCCCCCCCCCCCCATTCCACCTAAAGTGCACCGAGGCACACTCGTCATTGTCATGCAGAGAAGAGAAGGGCAATATTATCCGGAGGAAGCGTACTGACGGACATTTATGTAACAGAACACATAAGCTGAGGCCAAAAGATAAGACTTTTGTTGCACATATATTCTGATTTGGTGTTGTCAGCAAGTAAGTAGGAAAGTAACAAAGCTGATGTTTTTGTACGTTCATTAGAAAGCAACATTGCAGCACGTTCTGATCAAATAAAGTCAACCCTTTATTCGATTTATGAAGGGTTGACTTTATATAAAATATGGTCTTTTACTGTGAAAACATCCAGAGATGCAACGTTCCATCAATTAATTGAATGATGGAAAATCATGTGACCTGGGTGACGGACACCTGCTCAGCCACTCAGCCACCAGGTGATATAACGACTCCAAATTTCCCTCTTATTCACTTAACATATTATTATATCTTTTTATTTTCCCTCATCATTTCACCCCCACTTCTGTCAGTCTCTCCCTCCGCAAACTGCAAAAAGAAATGGAAACTAATATTTAGCACATGGTGTTTACTGCTATACGTTTGTTATTGAGGCGTGAATGCTTACAAAGTACGCACAAACACAAGATTAAATGCTTCAAAATCATCCAACTGTCGTACATCACAGGGGAGGTCTGCGTGCATGACTGTGTGTGTGTAGGTGTGTGTTTGCGTGTGTATGTGCAGCAGATGTTCTGTACAGCCTGTCTGACAGCCAGCAGTATCCTGCAGCTGATACTCTCTCTGGGCAGGCTGACTGACTGACAGGTGTGTGTGTGTGTGTGTGTGTGTGTTTTCTTGTGTGTGAATAGTTGGGGGCTAGCTTCGCCTCAACCAAATCAATGTCCCCTGAAGGGATTAAGGAACCTGAGACAAAGACGAGAGCCACTGGGAAAGAAAGAGCATTTAGCTTTCTTTCCCCTCTCCAATCTCAGCTTCATCACTCACAGAATTTGCAGATTTCCCAGTAAAAATCTGCGTGAAATGTTCTGTTAGAAAAAGATGTTGCGGATGTTGATTCATGCCAGCAGCCCTGTTCTGATCCCACACTGTTATTAGCAAAGTGATCACATTGGATTTGGGTAAATTACGTCCAGAAATTAAAACCCTGTCTGCGCGAGTTACTGTGCTAATAATGTGTTTTACGTCACTACAGTGTACTTCACTGTGTTGAGACACAAATTTAAAAATCCAATGGAAACAGCATTCCAAACCACCTCCAAATGCGTGTGATTTGCAGACTCCCGATACAATGTGCTTGGGGGATGGTACGTGTTTGACAGAAACAAGGTCTCTGCGGAGGGCCCCGAAAAATGTGTGGAGTACTCTATTTGCAGGTTATAGCCTGCACCTGCAAAATAAATGACCTTTCCAACAGACTCCGCTGTACTTAGGTAATTATCAAATGTTAGCATCCTAACAAGCTAAAGTACGATGAGAAATATGCTAAATATCAGAGCATGAATATAATACCTACTACACATCATGTCAGCCTTTTTGCTTGGATTGTCAATCCAGTCAAACAGCAGAAAACTAACGTCACACAAATGACATTTTGACCTTCACCTTGTACGTATAGAGGATTAATGCAAATACATTCACGTGTGTGTGCAGGTCTGTACACGACTGCTCCACCGGGGCTTTCAAAGACAAGTGGGACTTCAATAAAAATCAAACAACCAAAACGATCCGTCTGACAAAAAACCTTGGACCGGGTTGAAAGGGTTGATTCCCGGCGCGCATGATTCACTGACACCGTCTAGACGGAGAGAAAGTGTCTCTCTTTTCAGAGCAATATTCAAAGAGTGTTAAAACCCAAAACTATACTCAGAAAAAACGGAAGGCAAGGCTAAGTCCCTTTGTCCCAGCGGCGTAGAATACAGCCTTCAAACTCTACTTCAAAACCACTCCCATAAGTTGACTCGCTCTCTGCAAAGACAAACGCTCGCAGTCGGTTTAATGAGGGCAAAACGTGGACGGGCCGATACATATGGGTGTGTGGAGGAATAAAACCAATTCAACCGGTGAGAAGAGAGAGGAGCAATGAGAGTATAATCATTTGCCTGCTTGTCAGACGTATCGGACAATCCCACCGGTGATGCAACCCTTTTATTACTCCATAAAACCCAATAAGCCAATAAGTTGCACTGTGGGTGTGTGTGCATTGGCGCATTCATTCCCCTGTGTGCACAGGACGACCCATCCTAATTCCTAGGCCTAAAGGAGATACAAGTGACGAAATCAAACCCAAAACGGAACAGTCCCTGCCAGTGGTACACAAACAAACAGAAGCTGTAAGCGTTCTCTTATAGCCACTAGTCTCGCCACCAGTTATTTGAAGATTACATATTTACCCAGTCTTTCTCTGCTGGAGTCCCGTCTCATCTCCAGAGGAGGCAAAGACATAAAAAATGTTGGGCATTTCGAGATCAGCCGTTCCTAGGATGGACTTGTTTCTCAAGTGGCAATGTGTGTGGAGTGCGTGCTGTAAAAAATCCTGAAGATATACTGTCCAGAGGATAAACGACGGCTCAAAGCAGGTTCTTGAGCCTTCCATGAGCTCCAATTGTATGTGATTGAATCATGTTTTAGGCTCTTGGTAACGTTTCATCAGTACTTGTACTATTATCGATACTGCTCATCGGTTCCTCATCCATACGGCATTCTTTTCAGATTCGCCCCGGAGCAAAGGGGAGACGCAGCGACAGAGAGGAGGAGATCTGACTGCAGCACTTCTAAAGTACCAATAGCAGAACCATTAACTCGGGATCTCATCGATACTCCGGGTATTGACTACTGTCTAATCGTTATTCCGGTCTATCTATCTCTATACTGTATATATACACACACATTCACCTGCCACTTCATTAGGTACACTTGTTCAATTGATTGTTAACAAAAAATTCTATTCAGCCAATCAAATGGCCGCAACTCAATGCATTTGGGCATTTAGCCATGTAGACGTGGTCAGGACAACTTGCTAAAGTTCAAAACGATCATCCGAATGGGCAAGAAAGGGGATTTAAGTGACTTTGAAGGTGGCATGGTTGGTGGTGCCATACTGGTCCGAGTACGTCAGAAGCTGATGATCACACAACCATCTCCGATAAAGAGAAAATGTCCAGTGAGCGGCTGTTGTGTGGACGAAAAAGCCTTGTTGATGTCATGTCAGAGGAGAACGGGCAGACTGGTTTGAGGTGATCGTTACAACCAAAGAATGCAGAATAGCAACGGACAACGCGTTGAACAGTGAGGAAGACGCACTACAGCAGCAGAGGACCACACGGGGGGGGCGGGGGCTCCGGTCAGCTAACAATAGGAAACAGAGACTACAATTTGTACAGGCTCACTGAAATTGGACAATAGAAAAAAATAACCGTTGCCTATTCTGACGAGTCCTGATTTCAGCTGCGACATCACAAATAAATACATAAACAAACACACGTGCACAGTTACAAACTTTAATTATCTGTATTCATTTGCTTGGTTAGATTTGCAGGGTGATGACACAGACATCGCGTTTGCAGTTTGCGCACGTTCCACCTACAGCTGAACAGGACCTCCGTGTATTAATACATATATAGACATCTACCTCTGATTGTTTTCCCTCCCTGGGATGCGATCTCCTGATGGGTCCATGGGGGAGGGGGGCAGGTTCAGACAGGAGGCCAGGGACTGGCTCGAGTCTTCTCTGGACACTGCACGCACACACACACACACACACACACAAAGAAACACACAGTCATTACACCACATTGATTTTCTGATCTCAGCGGACGGCTAAAATGTGCCAAAGTACCTAACCTGTCCACAACTTAGCCATCAAAAATAACAACTGTCTACTTACATAACAACCCAAATTAAATAAGAGCTATAAAACGCAGTAATGTCACAAAGCAGCTTATTAAAATTCAGTAGTGATGGGTTTGCATAATGACAACACCATTAGTTGTTTTTAAAAAGCATAAGTCTACTTTAAATGGCACATTTGACAGAGCAATGTCAAAGAGTCTGGATTTTTTTTTAAAAACTGGTAATGAAGCCAGGATTTGGCATTTGTTCATGCCTTTGAAAAGGTCTCGCTGTCTCTCTCTCTGTCCTTGTCTAATTCCACAGGGCATGAGTCACCGTTGGATTAGAAACACGGAGCCCTGCAGCTGCACACTGCTGGCCATAAAATGCTGTAAAACTGCTTCTTTTTAATAAAGGCTTCAACAAGCCACCCGGGAGGGGTTGCCAATGAGAACGTGTGGGAAGGGTGTGCGTCCGGTCCTACGTGTGTGTCTACGTGGATACCTTCACATGGAGGTGTGCGTATACACGCTCGGCCTGCTTCTTCTGCATGAATCGGTCGGCTCATGTGTGTGCGAGTACTTAAAGAGTAGTCCCTGTGATTTGGGAGCGTGAAGAAGCATCCCCTCCTGTTGCTAGCACAAAGTCTTAGACCCTTAACTTTTTGGGAACAATTTATCACACCTGTAATTTTATGCTACAGTCAAAAAAAGAGGTCTAATGACAAAGTATGCACACAGACCCGTGTTAGGGTGTGTTTTAATGATGGTACCTATTTTTGCTCTGCACCAGCCGAGGCCTTAAGAGGTGTTTTAAATCAGTGTGTGTGTATGTGTGTAAACCCAGCCGCCACACTAAAAGCGCTGCAACCCCCATAAGGACACGAAGTTCAGTTTATTAGGGCTGGAAATTCTCTTGTAATCTTTACTCCATAGTGCCGCTGCGCATTTTACTTTATTTGATTCCAGCTTTAATATTCTGCAAAACCACCCGGGACTCTGTATGCTGGAGTAGAGATGGGTGAATAGAACCTCATCTTTGTATACAGTTTAACTGTGAGATCGGTGAGATGAGAGGCAAAACTAGTCGTGCTCACACACACGCACATGATGAGTCAGTGTGCACCATTATAAGAGTGTTAATAGAGCCATTCGCTTTACAGGTCTAACAAAAAATGCCCGAAACCGAGAAGAAAAGAAACAAAAGGTGATCACATTTTAATCTCGGTGTTAACCGAACTAAGTAATATTCATGGGTCATACCAAGCCAAACACCAACTCTATCAATGAATGCAGGAAAAGAGGAAAGGAGACTAGTGCCAGCAAAAGGAGTCCATTCCTTCACCTCTCCACATCTACTCTCAACAGCTAATAGTAATAGTATTTGCATACAAATGTGTCTTAACACATATACCCGTGCGATTGTGGTTAAAGCCAACTCCCACTCTGGGTTCGCCACTCCACGCTGCAGCGTGGCAGAACACAAGCAATAAGTCTCCACTGACAGCCACTTTTAAACCGTGAGGTATGTCACGGAGGAGTTTGACTGAAATGCCAAAACAACAAAGATAAATTGCTGCAAATGAGGCAGCTACATCAAAGCCGAGGCTCATGTTAAAAGAACCAAGGAGAGTGCTGGTTTCACGTTCTACGGTGATGGAGTCGAGGTGGCTTCCTGGGCAGAAAAGACAAAGAGAGAGAACGAGAAGAAAGCAATGCGAGGGTAAAGAACGGAGAAGTGAATAAGAGGGGGATAAAAGAACGAGGAAATGTGAGCAGATGTTCACTTTGAAGAGATGGATTGATAGATGAAAGGTTTCTACGTGGCAGATTTCCTCCTTTGATTTGAATGGTTTCTTTCCAAGAAGCCGAAGCTTCTTTCAGGAGGGAACGGCTACACAATGATTTGCAGACCCTGTGTTTGACCCAGATGTGGGTAGTTCTTGTATTATGCATTTGACTTGAACCCTACACCTCGAGTGTGGCAGGCTTCACCCACACACTTGCCATAAAGAATTCTGTGTAAAGCTCAGATCTTATTGCGGAGAAATCCAAATTACCATGTCGATGGCGCTGATCGTCGGAAAGGTCCAGGTCTAACATGAGATCATCTTCATCCAGCTCCGATGAACCCAGGTTGTTTAAAACATCCTGCGGAGAAAGAGAAAAAAAAAAACAAAGCGCAAAATAAGCGATTAAAAAAGAAAAAAATCAGGTTAAACATCTGAGAAAATGATAAGCAGTAATTATAACAATCACATTACCATGATTATGTTTGTCAGTTGCTGTATTCCCCAATAGAAATGAAATACCAACAAATTGGTCACCACAAGTCATTGCAATGGAATGGCAACATTAGATCGATTGCTGTCAAAGTACTCCAGCTGGCTCAATTTAGAGAAGGAATCCCCAACCAGAAACACACTAAATCTGATTAGCATTAGCAAAAATATCATCTACTTTATCTGCATGCATTGAGAAGACTAAGATCTTGCAGAAAACAGGCTGTAGTTTTGTTATGCATCTACAAATCTACACAAATATTGTGAACGTTGTGTTTTTTCAAAATAAAATCAACTATTGGTTTGAATAAATGTCTGTAGCAATCTTAACAGAAATCCGTAAATATTAAGTTAGCAGCGCTCTGAAAACCCATGTTTTACAACTTCCTTCCAGCCTGCGTGGCCCTGAATTATTAACAGTATACTGACTCACACTAAAGTTGTGTTATTTCTTGAGAAGTCTTTAGATGGAAATTGCATAACAAGTTTTGACATTTAACGACTTAATGCCAACCAAAAAATCTTTACTGGTACTTTTCTTTCAGTACGTGCTCCCATGTTATTGGTATTGTTGTTACGATGCTGCAAAAGTCAATGCTGCCATCTGATGGTCATCCAAAGGAACCCATTGCAGATTACCTCTCTACATCTATCCATCTATCTTTATTTTTATTTCATTCAATCACTCAGGACCTAATACGCCCATAATATTACAGATAATTGTGCATAGCATATAGGTGCAATATAAAACCTCACAAGGGGAAAACAAATAATAATAATACACTAGGAGTGTATACGAGGAGTTTTTTTCACTTCATAGGAATATATTTTATATCCCGAAACAACCTTTTTCTGCAATTCTTTTCAGAAAATAAGTAGGTGATTCTCACTGCAGGCTGTCAGGGCACTTGAGATGAACTCCTGTGCAAAAACAGTTAAACCAAAGCAACCACCAGGAGCCAAGAACTACAACGCGCCTGCATCGCGGAATATCAGCAGACGGATTTGGAAATCCAATAACCAACTCTGTTCATCTCTCGTCACTGCCGTTTGGGCGTCCACGACCTCAGAGCCACGCTGCTCATCGATCTCCTGTCATCTGACAACTAGCGTCTTAATGCTTTGTGACATTCCAAACAAATTCCAAACAACTGAATCAATGTTCTACCAGGCCATTCCTACAGTGTGTGAAGCCGTTGTGGTCTTTGTACCGTGTGAATGTGTATCCCAAAATGACTGATTTTTCACCAGACGGTTACGGCCACAAGACCAGGAAGCGTTTTACTGTAATGGAATTGAACAGAAGAGCTCATTTCAGGCATACAGGCTAAGAGGTATTGGAAAAGAAATGAAGACCCAAACCATGCGATACTATTGCACACAGAGTTCATTTGAAACTAAATTACCCATTTTAATGTGCCCCTCGAACCATAGAAATGTATTAATATGAATTTTCAGCCCAGCGATGTCACCTTTTTACCTTGCTCTTGTGATTAGAGAGAGCGTTATCCTCCGGTTAATACAGATAATATCAGATTCAGGTCTCGTTAACAGATGGCTCCATCTTTTAACTGCCTTGCAGAACGACATCTAAAACAGGAATAGGAGGCAGCGAGAGGTTATTTTCCGTCCATTAAAATCCACTGGTTTCTGTTCACATTCCGTGGATCCGGGGCTCTGGGGGTGATAATAGCATTCAGATCGTGACAGCGATTTGGCTTTGCAGCCAAGTAGTACGGCTTCTAGCAACGGAAAGTATATGGACTAACAAATCACTTTCGTTCTGTATGAGGAGACCGTTCACAGCGAGGTGGGCTGGCAATGCACCAAAGGGGGGCGAAGGATTGAATGTAGTTAAATGAGTGAAAAAAAAAAGAAAAAAAAACACCACCGTGCCCCCCCCTTAAATAAACCGCATTTGTCATTTACTCAAACTGTCTCCTAACTGTCTCCTACCTATTACAGAATAATCAGGCATCCCACAGCCAAACAAACAGCTCCTTCACACTCAACATGCAATAACATTTAAAGTTAAAGGAGACGCTTTATACTGTTGACTTTGTTAGAAACAGAATCCATAATTCCACGTGTACATTTTATACTTCATAAGAATATGCTTTGACGGAGGCTGTTGAATTATGAATATAGTCATAAATTAGAGTGAGATATAAACCTTTTGTGATCCAGTGATATGTAGTCTGGTCGTAAAAAAAGGATTTCTGGAAGATTAAGTACTCAATAAGGACATATTCTTTACATGTCCGCTGACCTTTTTATGACATACGCTAGGACAAGCACAGGTGTAATTCATATTAATATAATATGAATCTTATTTGGACGCCCCAGTTCCCCCGTCCATGGCAGTGTGCCTGCTAGAGGAACGGCTGCATGGTCCGTATTCATGTCTGTGCAGATCACCACTAGCTCGTCTCATTGTGCCTCTTTAGTTGTATTTGATTAAACACCGGCCTTCAGAACCGTCAGGTTCTACAACCAGTTGGAGAGAGGTTGCCCTCTCGTTTGAAAAATGCTTCTTTATTCATATTCTTATTTCATAGATGCAAAGAAATGGACGAGTCGGAAAGGAAACTGAATCATTTAGAAATATGTGGAGGGTCGTTTGCCCATTAGAAATACTCCTGAATGAATGCCCCTCGTGCTACTTTCCACGCTGCCCGCTTTCTACCACACCATGTGACTGCGTGTTGTGAAATACAGCCTGAAAGCACATTCACTGGGACACATTTGTCAATTTGTTCTCCGTTACTACTGTGCTTTATCAGCAACAAGTCAAATATTTCCGTCACATAAGTGGGGATGTGGATGTGAAACCCGAAGGAGATGAATGTTGAGCATTAGCCTTCAATTTGGAAGTCATAAAAAGTGAACATTAGAACAAGGTATTGGATTAAGTTATGACTGCACATTACCAGCTGACAATTAAATTGAATGAACACCTCACTGCTCCAACATAACCGGAAAGCCATTAAAATGATCGTCTTTGAGCTCCTTAAGCACATTGCTTTGGATGATATGAAGTTTCGGTTGAATTAAAAGAAACATTCGTTTCTACAGCAGAGGTATTCACATCCGATCCTCCAGGGATGGAGTCCTGCATAACTCCTGTTCCTCTCTGATTGCTAATGAGCCCCTAATTGACTATCAACTCCATTCTTTCCAGGTCCACTTACCGTGTTATTAGCCCCTGCGCTGTTCAGTGATGTAAAAATGAACACATTTAGAATATGAACAGGATCTCATCTTGACATAACAATCACCATGATGTGTGAAACATAACCAGTTGTAATAAGAGACTTTACTATTGGATGCAATATTAGAAGCTATTCATGAACGTAGGTGAGCAGTCTGGTATTCCCAGAAGAAGAAGTTAATATCAAGTCCATATTTTTGTGTATAAGTGTTTTCTTTTTTTTGAAGATGATTTCATTAGAAATATGCTAAATGAATGTAGCATGATGATCATTGTTGATAAGAGCACACAGCCTCTTGTTAACCACAACAGTTGTGCAATTTCCTTAAGTCCCATAAAATAAATCCACGATTTAATCATATGATGATACTGTTTTTACAGCGCAAATGGTTATACAGTATTCTTCTGATAAATACTTTTTTTCACCAGCCTTGGCTTTTGGATTAACAAATCTCGCATCGGAGAAAAGGATGTGAAATGGGGTTTGATTTATTGTGTGACAGCGATATCTGTGACTTTCATTGATGTCGTTGGGCAAAGTGAGCAATATTATATATACAGCCTTATATTTTCATTTCATTTCAAAGCCCGACCGTCTTGTTGTGCTTATCACCAACTTGGTCTGGGAGAGGAAGCGGATCGTTATCGGCTCTGTGATTAATACAAGTGTGATTTATGATATCTCGCCTTAACACGGGGGCAATCAGACTGGAGGATATGAAAAACAAGGCAGCCTGCGTTTGTAACGCCGTCTATCAGGCGAGCTGCCAAACGACTGAGGATGAGCACAAGCAGCAGTCAAAGCAGTAAGTGGATTACGGTTGAACTAGTTTCCCACGTTTGTCGATCAAACTACAAAACAAAAGTGCAGCTTCACGGTTCAGCCTCTGACTGTGGTAAGAAATCATGTGTTGACACCTTGTAAAGTTGTTGTTTTTTTAACTGAAATTGAGTGAAATCAGTCAGCCTGCCAAGATATTAATCACAGCTGTCACTTAGAAGCCTATCGGCAACTAAGAAATGTATATGTGTTGGTAAAATAAACATGTTGCAAAGCCCCAGAAGGATCTCTAAGTAACAGTAACAACTGGAATGAGATCAGCAAACAGCTGAAGCAAACTGCCTTTTTTTTTAGCTTCCCAGGTGTACTTCACAGTTTATATCCAGAAATACAACAACCTAACTAGTGTTTATTACAAAAGTGGACTTTGTTTGCCTAATGCTAATGACATTTTGTCTGGGCTGTAATGAAACAGCGACTCTAAAGCGGATCCACCTAGCGTGATATTTAGTGTGAACTGATGCAGAGTCCACAGTCCTCCCTTATAGACCTCACATGTTATATTTATATGCTACGAACTCCTTCCCTTCATACCCTCACAGGTTTAAGTTATGTGTTTACATATAATTAAGAGTGAATACTGCTGCTTTTTATGAGATGAGGTTTCACATTGCGCTGTAACCTTTCTCCCTCCCTCTCATTCTACAGTAGCTTGTTTTTATTGTACACTCTTGGCATTGAATGCCTGCTTTAATTGTATTTTAATGTTCTTTTTACAATGTGTTTCCATTGCACTCAATGCGCTTGATGTTTTATGTAAATCGTTTGAATGGTTTGGTGGCTGGAATGTGCTGCGTAAATAAACTCGCCTCGCCTCAAAGAAGGAGTCTCAGGTGTATCGATCAAGGACCCTTCATAAGCTTCGTAATTGCCTTCTGCAAACCAGCAAAATGTTATCAAGTCAAAAGAAAGAGATGTCGTGCTGCATCATTTGAAAACGACTTCGGCCCCCGAGAGGCCCTTCAAAAGGACGCAGAAAGAAAGGAGGTGACTCCCTGTTTGGTGAAGTGTGAGCCGAAAGGAGGGTGAAGTCTAAAGAGTACATGGCAACTGTGGATCGCCGCCCTTTTTAATCTCCCTGTCGACACCAATAGTCCCTGGCAAATTAAAAAGGATTGACTTAGACAAGCTTTCCTCCCAAAGACCCCCCCGGTGTGTGTGTAACAAAACCAACAGATGCACAATAGAAGCTGTAGTCCTTCCCCAGAATCGCATGTGGATAAGCAGCATGCAGCAACAAAGACGGATGCAATGTCTGTTTGACAGCCGATGCTAAAAAGAAAACGCTCAAAGCAACAGATGACTTTATCCATTCCCAATGCAACTGAACTTTGCCTTCATTGGCTTCAAATGTTTATTATGTTAGGTTTTTTTCCCCCATTCATGTGAACACACACAGAAGAAGTTATTGACACACTGGTGTGCTCAACTTGAGCTGTTGAATATCTGTACTGAGTGACACATTAATATTGGAGGGGCCAGCGTGTCGTGGTTTAGTCAATACAGCAGGAAACGGTCATTACGTCTCACTGTTAAATAACTTACAAATCCCCAAAAGAGTTTAAGAGAAGTCGGTTCCTGAGGTTCCCCGGATCGCCAATTCATATTCAAAAACACACCTGATTCAGCAAATACGTGTTTGGTGTTTTGTTTTGTTTTATTCCAAGCGAGTGCAAATGAAATCAAATTTCTCGTGCATGGAGGCTGCAAAGAGCACGGCGTGTGGCTTTGCCCCGGGCGTGCTGGAACACAGGCGTTGGCACTGGACGAGATCAGACACGATCACCCATCACACAGTTTATTATTAGGGAGTGTGTGAGCTGCTGGTTACAATTGTGTTAAATTACAGTCGCTCTGCTCCTTTCCGCCCCGGGCTCTTCCTGTAATGATGCACAGGCGTTCACGTAATCCGGTGCTGAGCTACGGTTCGAGTTTTAAAGCGTGACGACGCAGCGACCGAAGTGAACTGCTGCGGGCAAGTGGTGGTGAAGTTGAAAGTGGGCGTATTAAATATCTGCGCGTGATTTTACACAATTCCCGCATCTAAAGAACTCTATAAATGGCAATTTGAAGTACTGAGCTCACAGCAAACACACACCACTCAAACACGGATGTAAACTGGCAACTTGTGTTTTTACACAATTTTACATCTTATTTTTCATTATTCTTAAAATGGTGTTGCTTCCTTTTTGTCCTTTCAAGAGGACGTTCAAAAGAGGAAGTTGAACGTAATAAGCCATTTAGTCACACAAGCTGTGTGTGTGTGTGTACGCGCTCTAGTTATGTTTAACCTCAACACCTTGCTGAGAATGTAAGCCCTTACATACTTTAACTACACTGTGTGTTTCAAAAACACCCCCGAGTGTGTTAGGTAATGATAACGGAGCATGAACTATGTCCGTTATGTAAGCTGTAGCTATGTGGGGAACTTCAGAGGCACGCAGGAGCGTTCATGGTGTCATCTGAGGGCTTCGAACAAGCTTATGAAATCACACACGGCTCCCACCAGACCCACCAGACGTACCAGACTTCCCAGTTTGGATGACGAGGAGTTGTTTCGGTGTTTTAGCAGACCGCATCCATCCATGCCCGGGGCGTCTCTGTGGTTTCCATGGATACGAGGCCCACCAGCCCCCTCAGACGAGGAGCGAAGACGCCTCTCCATTCGCATCACCTCATGATAGGGGCTGACGCTGCTGCACAGGGAGGCTGGAGACGAGGAACAAGCACACAGAGGAAGTCAAATAGACAAAAGAATCAACGGATTCCACACGCAGAGACGTATTTGTGTTACAATTCCTTTATTAAAAACAACTTTTTTTCATGAAAAATGGTATGACAAGGCCGATCTTACTTACACGGCATTTTCATTTGAGTGAAATCTTCCCTTTCTGAAGCCCTTATTGAGCCATATTCCTTTTGGTAAAATGCTATTTTTGCCTGTTTTGTAATAAAAAGTATTATTCACCCAGCTGGCCGTGTAACAAGACAACTGAAGAATGAAAGTGAGATTCAAGGACAGAACTGAAGGTTGCTTTATTGCTCTTTAGTTATAATATATATGCGAAACATACGGACACTACCACGGCATCGCATTACGCAGACGGTTTTAGGAAAGAAATAAAACAAGCACATAATGTCTTTCTCCTCTATCTCGCTCTCACACACAGTTTCCCTAAGTTTGTGTCCTTTACAACAAGAAAAGACATTCAGAGACAGGGACAGTGACGCTGTAAGACAACCTTTAAGTAAAATTTTGTTTTTTGTGCAGTACAGACAAGCTCATCCTGTTTTCAAACTTCTAATAAAAACAATAATGTTCATATATCACTTTTCATGCTTAGTCACAAAGCGCTTTCCAGATTAAAAGATTAACAGGATGGAAAATGAACAAGACGGGTCATGAGACCACTCATGTCAAGCAGCAAAAAAATGACCTTTAAAAACCAATAAGATAAACCTTTACAGCTAATGATGTCCTTTAAAGCAGATAGCGCGCCAATAAAAGAACAAACTTTCATTTAAAAATGATACAAGTACCAAGCATATGCCTATGAAAAGACACAAAAATAGGATACCAAAACAGAAGCACAACTTTAAAAGTTGAAATAAGACATAAAAATAGCGATATGAAGACAATGTATGAATTATGCAAAAAGAAAACATTGTTAAAAGTGAGTGTTGAGGAGGCGCTGCAACGCTGCAGAGGAGCCTGCTGATCTCACTGAGGGGGAAGGATGTTCCAAAATAGACGGCCTGTGACTGAAAGAGCGAGGTCACCATCGATCGTCGTGCTGGTCGGTGGAACCGCTGAAAAGCTTTTGATTATCTGATTTTAGGGGTCTGGTTGGGCTTTGAGGCGTATTTAATATAATCTGGAGCCAGAAAAAATCCTAAAATGCATTAAACATAATAGGAAACCAGTTGAGAGATGATAATCTTGGACTGATATGACACAACCTGCTGGATTTACATGCGAGTTGAGGTTGAGATTGAGCGGCATTACTCGGGGCGTGCGGATATGGAAGCACGTAGGAATGGTTACCGTGAGATTGAAATTGAGCAGGACTCTTATCTTGGTGATGTTTCTTGATTAATAAAAACATGCTTCCATCATTTTCTGCAGATCAAAAGGATCAGCGGCTATCAAAAGTCCCCCTACGGTTTCTTGTCTTAGCATTGCAAGGGTTGATGATTAAAAAATCCTGCATGTAGACAATACTGTCTTTCTCCAGGTAAGAGGAGCTCTTCGGTGGAAATGTTGAAAGGCTTTCCAGTGATTCCTACAAACAGTCCAGCGGCCTCACAACAGAACAACATCCAATCAGCAGCCGGTAAGGACTCGTTTGTGGAAAGAAAGGGAGCCGTTTCCATTGTCTGGAAGGTTTGTCTCCCTTTCAGGAGTGAAGAAAAGGATGCCACCTCAGAGAGGTCACGCACACATTCAGCAGAAGGAACTTTCCGTGACACTAAGTAAATGAGGCAAGATGGCGTCCCTGATCTCTTATCAATACTATCGCCGTTTAACTACCGTGTTCCGTCTGTAAATCCCACTGCCTGGAAGATAAAAATGCACCAAAAATAAATCAATGTTTAGCTATTGAAGTAGAGAAGTCATTTCAGACGACGCAGAGCATTAGTGGCATTTTGGCCAAAATGAACATCTTTAGCAATATGTCAGAGCATCTGAAGAAGAGGTGAAAAAGCTCCATGACACACACTTTTGCACTCGACTTGCATGGATTTATTTCTTTTAAAGATTTACTGCTACCACTGGATGTGACAGGTACATGCGTTTTAAATACAGTTAAAGCGTCTTTCTTTTCTTATCTTTAGCCGTTTATCAGAACTTTGATTTAACAAAGTCCCTGTGTTGTCCAAAGCCGTCATCAAGCGGAGACGGGCTGAGTAAGAGGAGGGCATAAGTGATGCTTTTATGAAGATCAGCTCAGTTTGCACCGACTCCACTTATCAGTTTCCTGCGTAAATCTCCTCGAGAGTAATCAACCGCCGACTATCTTTAATGAATATGCCTTCACATTTGCTTACTCCACACAAAAAGAGAGTGAAGGAGCTGGAGCGCGCCATCAATTTCCACGAAAACTGATATATTTATTGAATGGCAACAAAAGACTCAGACCGCTGCCGTCTGAAAGTATGAAATCCAAGTTAGTGTCTGTCTGCGCGTCAAAGTCGTCATCATAAATCCTTTCACTTTCTGGTTTGGTCATATATGCTAAGCCGCTTGGCGCTAGTTTTAGGAAGCTAAAGACGTGTGATAGGAGATTAGCAGCATGGCTCAGAGGCTCTACATGTGTTGAATGGCCGTTTCTTCAACGATCCTTATCGTCTCCGTGCTGTTCTGCCCGCGGCAGTGATTGTGAAGTCGTGTGCGTGAGGGTCTCATACCTGCGTGCGGTTTCCTCAGATGAGAGGACCTGGGTTCGTGGCAGCCGCAGAAGCTTCCTCCAGCTTGAACGGAGCGCACGTTTCTGGCCCGTCTGTCCGCGTGCTCCGGGTTGGAGCTCGAGCCCTCGCTGCGTACCGCGCACGCCTCGCTCTCACTCGTGGTCTCCTTGCGGCAACTGGCCTTCCGCTGCTCCACCAGCTCCATCCTCTCCTTTGCTGACACCTCATCCCTCGCTTCCTTCCTCTCTTCCTCTCTTTCCTTTCTCTCTTCCAGGGATTGTTCCCGCAGAGGAAGGCAGGCCACGGCCGTCTCGGGCTCCGAGAGCGACGCGGCGGTCTCGTAGTCCGTGTTGTTTGCTGTGCTGGTGTCGGGGAGCAAAGGCTTCTCGGCGCCGGACTGAGCCGGAGTGAAGAAAACCTGAGCAGAGGACGTGCAATGAAACAGAACATTTTACACCGATTGGAATACAACAAGAATTGTGGACTCCAATGAGGCAAAAGGTTTAGTATTTACTCCTGTGTGTCCTTCTAGGTGCGGAGCTTCATCTTTGCAGTGGTTGCTCTAGATTAAAAAGGTTTCTTTTCCTGTGATCTTGTGATGTTTCGGGCGCTACACAATCATTTTTCCTTATTGAGCGAATGGCGACTGTTCTTAGTGAGAACAGAGTGAGTTTGATGGACAGACGGTTCATCAAATCCAGCACTTTTAGAAAGTGACAGGCCTAACCCTTTACAGAAGACCCCCCCTCAGATGGTTCTGTGTCATTAAAAACACTGGAGCGATCTACTTTCCCACCTGCGCCACAAAAGGAAATTGTGGGTGCAAAAGTGTGAAATGTGGAGGGCGAGTGGGTTTCCTTTTTCATGCCTCAGCTCTTTCAATAAAAAAGGGTTTTCATGCCCAGTGCTCAATTGTTATGCCATGTTTCACAGATTCCACACAGTGGTCATAGATATTCCTCCTGTAGGAGCACCTGTGGGTGGATTGTCTCTTCCTGAAGCCCTTATGTCACAACAATCAAATGTTCGCAAGCAGAAAGATGCATTGTTTAGATATTTTGTAGAATTTGTCAGAATGTTGCTTATCAGTTCCACTACGCTTACCACAAAGCATTTTAACACGAAGCACAGCGTCTGCACTCATTGATCCATTTGACTCGGTAGATATTTTCGATTAATCAGAGGGAGTTTTTAAAAAAGAGCCTAAAACGAGCACACTACCTGCGACGTGGAGACAGCCACGCTGAAGTTCTCTGGGGCGGGTGGGGGTTCAGGTGGAGCCTCAACAGCCACCTCAGCAGCCGGCTCGGGCGCCGAGGCGCATCCGGGGGCGGAAACAGACCCGGCGCCGGGGGCCGGCAGGGCGTCCACCTCGGACACGGAATCCTCCGTGATGGCGACAAACTCAGACGGGGTGACGGCTGTGGTTCGGTCTTCTGACATCATGGGGGACTGGAGCGAGCTTTCCCCTCCGGCGCCGCCCGCCTCCCCGGACCATGACCCCGGGGTGAGCGCCCCCGCTACCACCGCCGCCACATCGGCGGAGCTCGGGGGTTCCAGGTTCACCTCCGGGGGTCTGTGGTGGTCGGAGGTCCGGGAGAAGCGGTGGTGAGCGGAGAACGACTTGGGCAGCAGCTGTTTCTTCCGTGAGGACCGTTTGGCGTTATTGCTCCCGCCGGCGCTGAAGTCGTCCAGGAAGCCGGAGTCGTCCCCCTCGTTGACCGCCGAGCCACTGATGCAGTTTATAAACACGTTCCGATTGGCTGTGGAGGAAGAGGAGACCTTTTCGAAGTCCTCGGTCTGAGAGCGACTGATCTTCTTCTGCCTGTGGCTGCCGAACCCAAACGAGTGGCGCGACTTGGGCCGCCCGCCGCCCTCGCTGAACCCCGCCGGCGCTTCCGCCGCCGTCTGCTGGTTGTTGCCGTTGCCGTCGGTGCTCTGCGTCAGCGGGGGGGTGAGGTTTAGGTTGATGGGCTGGACGCGCGGCTCGCTGTGCCGTTTGGCGGAGAAGCTGAGGGACGGGGCTCGGAAAAGGCTCCGCCGCTTCCCGGTGCTGCCGGAGCTGGAGTTGGTGCTGGACGGCGACGAGGTGTGGACGCCATTGCCCTGTCCGCCGGAGGACGGGGAGGAGGGGAGGGACTCCTGCCTCTTGCTGCTGCTGCGGCGGAAGATCGGCAGGCGGGACACAAGCGTGGAGCGGCGTGACCCGGATTCGCCCATCTAGAAGCCGGAGGCCCACCGGGTAGTCTGAGGGGACAGACACACACACACACGGGACATTCAACGGACATACACACAACACGCGTCCACATTGGTTCACATTCAATGTGAAGCCGGGGGCTGAATAATTGACAGGTTTCAACATGAGATTATGTGCCGGGTAAGAAATCTCCAATAAAGGACGAATGGCTCAAAGTCACTCACCTTCTGGGCAAAGGTTGCACCAATACACTTAAATAAAATGATTTTACAAAAATGTCAATGAAGGGAGCTTCATGGTGCAGACTAAGATGAGGAGGTGTCACATTAACAGGACACTTTGCCCGCGCTGAAACAGTCAGAGCAAACCGTCGCTGCAGAAGCTTCTGTTGCAAAAGGCCGATAGATTTCTGCTGCTCAGGAGCAAATTCATGTGTCATTTTTTATTTTTAATCCTAAACCTCCCTGCCATCAAACTTTTTACACCAAACAAAGGGGGACGCAGTTATTTTTTGGATTTGTGATGAAAGGGAGCAAACAGAGCTCACGCCCCCAAGATCGTATATTCTAGTACTGTCTGTACAGGCGTGTGATTAATGCAGCAGTGAGCGTCTCTTCTCTTTGACGTTCCACATTAGGTTACTTATATTAAGGGTTTGCAGAGTGTCTCACAACTTCAAAACCAAAAGAGCCGTTTCTGGTGTATTCCTACTGCCACACGTACACTACTGCCTACGCTGGCTCGTGTACGTGTTGCAGTTACTGACATGCAAAAGATTTTTTTTTAAACAGCAAAGTGGGAGTTCAGTTTAAAGATTATTGTTCAAACAAACAAAGCACCAGAAAACTGAACCGACACAAGTTCACAGCGGCCGTAACTTCCCGTTCCGCGGCTCAGATACATTCTGAATGTCATGGATCAACTTTCAGCCGCTCCGTGTGCGAGTAGCGCCTGGCGAGGCCACAGCGACGTGCATCCCCCATTTACAAACGTCTTTTAAAGCATTTTACCGTGAGCGCGCGCTCGATAACAGTTGAAATCAGAGGGCATTGTCTCACTGTCAAGCGTTAACGTCACAGGTTTAAAAACGTAGTCCTTGGAATGAGGAAGAAGCGGCCTCAGTGAGAGCAGCTGATGCGCTTTGTCGTCGTACCACTGTGCAATAAGAGGAACGCGCTTCACCCGAGTGTCGCCTCGTCGAAAGTGACTTTGATCGCGTTCTAAGCGAACACTGACGCAGGTTTCCCAGTGTCACACATGAGAAGTTTGTCCTGTCTGTCCCCTTCCAGCGGCCTGTTGACGGCCAACGTACAGTGCGGGTTAGAAGCACACATTTGAGCAGTTCAGTAGCGCTCGGCTTATTGGCCTGCACCACCAGACTGACCTTTGACCTGGCTGTGACACTGTGACCTGGCTCATTAAGACAAGCTCCAAGTAATTACATGATTTAAATAGATGGAGAACACCTCGGACCGATCGGGTAAGAAGAAAACGCCCGTAAGTGACGGCTCGACAGGTCTCCGGTCTGGTGAACACTAAACCACGAGTCTACCTGTGTTGGGGAAGCAAAAAAGTCCTCTTCTCAGTTTCTCTTCCCTTCGCTTCCTACTGCAGTTAGTGATGGAGTTGCGTAACAAAACGCAGAGCAAATGAGATGTGATTTGCTGTGTGTTTGACTTCAGTTTGTATGTGGACTCAAAAAAAAGGAAAAAACAACACACTTTTTCTTTTTCTCATTTCGCGAACCCAGTGCAGCCCGGGATGGAACCCACGTGTCTCCTGGCCGCGAGGGGAAAGTGCTGACCGCGACGGCGTTAAGAACACGGAGGGGAACAAAGACATATCGTCACAGCTTCTGACTGCCTGCGTGAAGTCAGAGGTTCGGCTCAACGCCTTCGGGGGACTTCTTTCCAACGGCCGAGTAATGTGCCTTTGCACCATTACGCGTGATGTGTCACCATCTTCCCATTAGGGATGTCGCATTTCAGACAAGCGTTGTGATGTTATTTTAATATGTTGGTTTGGATTTGAAATGAATGGCTGTAGCAGTTGGACCCCCGGCCACGCTTCTAGTGATCACAGCATGGGCTAAATAAACCATGTGAGCTCCTTTATTCCTGCGCGGCTTGTGTGGTTTGCACTGTCCTGTCACCACTCGACAGCACGATGAGCTCGCTCTAGTAGTGTACGATACATCGGGAGGCTACACGTCCAAATTCCTATTTCTAACTTTGACACTGATTAATGCGTAATTACTGCGTAATTCTTCGGTTTAAAAGGATTAAAAAGGTGCGTACGGGGCGTAACTGGGTGTTTCCTATGAAACAGGTTCTCAAACTACATGTAATGATAGACTACACAGTAGACAACGTCGTGCTGCTCGGTCCTGGCCGAGTACAGAAAAGGATTTGCTTGGTACAAGCTTTCATGGTTTCCTGGTAGCGGATATTGTATTTTGAGATTTATTCAAACGAATGCAACACAGCGGCTTTAGCAAAGCACAGCGTGCTGTTTAGCCGGGGGGGGGTAGGGGGGGGGTCCACTCAGAAGGTGTTCATCAATGATGGGATGGGTGATATCGGGAAATCAAAACATTAAGTTGAACGCAAAAATGGAGGAAATCAGTGAATATAATGACTTGAAAGATCACTGTGCACATGAGATACATATAAATCACCATGCAATAACCAGATAATTTAATCTATGCTATATTCACATATTACTTCTGTGACTAAAACGTTGCATGACACGCTGACCTCATCTTTGCAAGCCATGACATGTGGTCAAAACAACAAGCTATCTTGAGCAAGAGGATTCCTTTTGAACCAGGGACTCTAAAGTCACTCGTGATCGCTCACCTTTGGTCCGACAGAAACGTGCTTCGTTGAACACATGACACAACCACCTTGTTTGGGCCCACTGAAGAAATAACAAACTACCCGCTGTCACCTGTTCGTTTCACAAAAAGTTGAGCAAATAACAAGAATCACAGACTAAAAAACCTGTACTACTTCAAGAAAGGAAAGCATGTGCATCATGAGAAATACAAGAAAAAAACAAGCAAAGACGTGAGCAACATTTAGTGCATTTGGAAAACGATGCAAATAAAAATAAAAGAACCGTCACTAACTTGACTACACATACACGCTATAGAGCAAATACTAACATGCAGAAGATAATGCTGAACTGGAGATTTAAAAGCATAAATAAATGTAAACGTAAGAATACTTATAATTGATAAAAACACACGGATGTGCGTCTTAGATGTTTAAGGGATGGAGGACACACTCCTGGCATCGAATGGACGCAGCCAGCATAATACTAATGATCTAGAACAATTCTCCATCCGCAATATGTTCACGCGCACGCTCCCAGTGAGCGATGCTACTGGGCAGCCTGGGAAAGACACGTGATCGGTCCGAGGCATCGTAAAGCTCAATGAATGGGCCTCAGCGTGACGTCATCGTGTGCAGGCAGCCCCGTTTGTACAACCGTCCGCCGGGCCCGCTCGCTTTCTACGCCTCGTCGCCCCGTCCACGACCCGGCTACAGCCCGCGCGTTGGGCACGAGTTCCGATGCGAAGGGGGGGGGGGGGGAGATGCACAGCGCACGTGACCAGCCTCGGCAGCTGTCAAACCCAAACGTCAACAACGTCATCAACCTTAAATACAGACCAGCTAGCCGGGTCAACAGCCGCCCGAACCGAGAGAGAGGAAGCTCTGGCGCTAACGGCCGCTGAGTATTCAGCCATGAAACGACGCGGACAGCTTCCCTCGGCCGGTAAAGGTCGTCGGTGTTCAGGGGAGGGAGAGGGCGGTGTAGGTGTAGCAGGTTCACCCGGACCGGCTAGCAGGCAGCGGTACAAACCGTCGGTTGAAGTTACGTTACCTTGAGCGGATTCCCGGCTCCACCGACGACCTGCGCAGGACAGCGCCGAGGACGCGGCTCCGCTCGGTGGTCACGCGGCTTATTAGAACCGATAAGAGAGGATGTCGCGAAGCGTACAACGGAGCTGAACCCGCGCTGAGGTAGTAGCTGTGTGTGTGTTGCACTGACGCCGATATTACGCCTTAGTGACGTGGAGGCTCGTTTCCGCCTTCCTCTCTTCCGCGTTGCAACGACATGCCGTGTGTGCGCGCAGTGTGACGTAGTCCTCCTCCTCCTCCTCCTCCTCCTCGTGGATGGAGGAACATGTCAATATTTCTGTGGCTAAATCCAGAAGTAACTCAATTCCTCTCAAATGGCTCTACATATAAAATTAGTGCTAATCTCAGAGCCACTTGTTCTAATTTGGAACTTTAACATGAGATATACATGAATTAATTTATGCAATAATCACTGCAGAGATTAGTCACCATAATACAATGACTGGCATGAAAAACCGCATTAGGCCTGTTAAATGACACCAGGGTTTACTTGTCATTTTTGCGAAACACTGCAACAGTTCATTAGTCATTAGATTTATCAAACCCAAATTAAAAAATTTCAAAAGCATTAAAATTGACAAGTTTTTTTGAAAAGCACTAGCTTTATTTGGATGAAATCCTCCACAGACATTTATGAAGTGTATCACTTCCCAGGAAGCAGAACATTTCCACAGCTTTACATACAGAAATCCACGTGCACAGCAAATCCAAATCCACTAGAGAAAACCAAGTCACCAATTTAGCGTTGAGAAAAAAATGAAGTTCACTAGTCATGTAGTGTTTGAACTTTGACGAGGAAAATCCCATTTAAGACCACAAAGTAAACCAATTTGATTACAAATTGTCTTGAGGGGCTTGCGTTTGTCCAAACACTTTTTGCAGCCAGTTTAATATTGCACACACACACACACTTATTATGCACACAGGCGCCTGCAGTAAACGCCTGCTTACATGCTACACAGTGCAAGTTTGGAATAGGATTGAGTGTCAGCCTGCTACATATTTGGTTGTATATTCTTTCAGGAAAAGCAGGCTAGGACGCATTTTAATTTAAGATGGGATTAGAAGTCAGGATTACAAGCATTTTATCATGATAACTATAAAACCTAGCTGTGAAACAAACCAACATTCACATGTTCATTCCAGCATTAACAGAAATACATTGAGATAAAAATAAACTGAATTTAGCCAATTTATGCATAGACATGTTTTAAAGATGATGATGTTGAAACAGTATTTTAAATGCAGTCACAGAAACCCTATTTACACGTTAAACTGACAAATGTTTTTGTCCAGCTGTAAAAGCAGAATCAATTAAATGCTTTAACCCCAAAAAACACACAATGCCCTCTACACGATATAACCAAAACATTTGAACAGATTTATCAAAACACCACAAACAAAGCAGGAAGAAAAGGTTAGTACCATTTGAAAAGCCCGCAGCTGAATATCTGCCAATAAATTTACACCAATAGTGATACACATCTTTCAAGTCCACAATTTTTAAGATGTACTTTATTTCACTTAAAATAATATACTCTGAATTAACATGTACATGAAAGTTTAAGCAAACATTAATAAAAATAAAATAAAAAAACAATTTACAAATCGGACATTAAAGAGAAGGCGGAGGTGCCGAGCCGACTGCAAATCCAACCAAACTCGTTTGTGTGAGCAGAAGGTACAGCAGTAAGGTTTCCCGGGCCCGATGGATAGAGGTAGGTAGCAAAAGGCCCCCATCAGGGCAGGAAACCCGAGAACACAGCCATTCTCCAGTCCCTGCAGAAACCTAAATGCACACGACCGTACAAAGAAAAGATGCAGTACACGTCTGTAGAAAAACCCAGCAGACTGTCTGTCTGGTGAGCCTGCTTGGACATGAATATCTGCGCTGATTTAAATCAAAGCCAATCAACTACTTATGTGATCTGTCTGATAGCCCATCTCCCTGTGACGTACCAGTATTCTGCACCTCATGCGTCTGCGCTGCAACTAAACTGGTTTTCATAGTAAAAAATAAAAATGACTATGTACCAAACTGTTTGTGATAGTACTTTTTGTAAGAACCTGAAGCGTTGTGTTTTTAAAACCGTTCAAGGCTGCTAGGCCACCGATTGGTGTGTTGCACCCAAGTCAGCGCTGCGACTTTCAACGCGCTTTGGCCGTTAGCACCTTTGCAGCAGTGGAACAGACGTTGACGACAAGTACACAGTGTTCAGGTACCTGGCTGATTTTAGAGCGAGCAAGTCACATTCAAAGCTGTGCAAACAGTGAGAGGCTGTAAAATCCAAGTAACTACTCCAGGATCAACGTCGATGGTGGTAAAAGGAGAAACGCTTCAGAGTGTGACGGTCAATGTGAGACATTAATGTGCCTACAAATGTTTAAAAGTGAAGAAGCAAGTAGGTAGTGATCAAAACGGGATGAATGTTAAGATTATCGTGACACGCTTCATTCATGATATTGTGCAAAAACAGCTGAACATAATTGTGACAAGGAGGAAAGGACGTGTTTTCAGTGAGCAGGTGGGGAGGAAAAGGGGAACTATAGTAATACCGGTTACAACCTTGACACCCTTGTCAGTGACAAACAACCTACAATAAAAACTTACAGTATTGATGCAAAGAGTTTTTTTATAATGCTTGTGCAACGACTGCTTGCTAGAGCAAAGAGACCCATTTCCTTAAAAATAAAAAAAAGGCACAAAGGCACTAGCTTTATAGTAGCTACGAGGCTCTTAGGTCCACCACCATTACATCTAAACTTATGCTGCTACTTTTGCACACAGAGCCAAAAAAATAAAACTTCACCCAAAAATGAATCCTTATATTAATTCATGACCATGTATTCCTGGCAAAATAGGACGAGTACGTGTAAACACAAAGGCATTTCATGTTAAAAAGATTTAAAGTAGCTCAGATAGCAGATTCTACTATATTAACAGCTAATCATAGCGGACAATTAAAAGCAGGTCAAATGTAATTAACAGACATTGGTATGTAGAGAAGATCTTTCACATACAAACGTCTGAAGACCTTTGTATGAGGATACTTCTACTTCATACATTGTAAATAGGTCAGTCTCTGGCAGAGAGCCCACTTAGGACTGAAGACCCTGATCACATCCGCTTCATCTGATCAAAAAAAAAAAAAAAAAAAAGATTTTGGATCATACTCCATCACCCTGTCATTAAAATCTACTCTTCCTAGAACTGAAGATGCAGCTCCCGACGCATCTACTTCCTCCACCTCTCCTCAGAACGTCAGTCTCTTAGCGGTGACAAAATCCTCCAGTTGAACCTTGGCGCTGCCCATGAGCCCGAAAGCCGGATACATCGTTCCCGAACAATCCACCTGCCTCTCGTAAAGGCACCGCATGGTGTCGGCGTCGTAGAAGAACACCCGGCTTGCGTCGTAATCCAGGCACACGCCCAGGCGCTGCGGCATGGGGAGCACGCGGCTGCCAGGGTCGCCAGACGTGGCGCCCAATGTGGAGGATGAAGAGGTCTTGGGGATGAAGAGTTTGCCCATCCCCAGCGTGAGGAGGGTGAAGGGCTGGGAGAGCTCGTAGCACGTGTCCTCGCTGCCGCTGTCGTGCCCACTGTCGTGGTCATACCTGAGGGCGAGAGGAGAGAAGGTGCTTACGGCTTGTACCAAACATTTTGTGAAAGCAAGAAGCACAATCCTGTGTAAAACTAATGATGCAGCAGAATACAAATTTGTAGTGAAGGCATCTGATTTTACGATTACTACAATTTGAAATCACAATGTTTCTTTTTCCAATTAACCAAAACATGCCTATATTGAGTGAGAGACATAATTTAGAAACTGGTATTAAAGATAATTTTGTTAATCTACTTTTAAGGTTTAACTAAATAAAAACGCAACCTCATATGACATCGCCTTGCATGCATTATGTAATGACCATAGAACTGAAACGTATTTGGGTAAACCAATGCGATTCTTTACATGAGCTGATCCAGTGAGAACGGCAGGCTTTGTCCGAGTGTAAGCGCTTTAAGAGTTCACTCTGGTTCTCTTACGTCACTGGATTAGGTACGACTCAAACACTCATCTCTGTGCTGCAATTGTTTGCATGCCTTATAGTAGCAGCACACTGATAACATGAAAATATATTTATTATTACTACATTATTCTTTTCTTTATCAATTGACATGTAAAAGCAATTGATAAGAGACCAATTGCCAGTGCGCGTAGACAGCCTGTCTTTGTTCTTACCTCGGGCTGCTGGTGTCTCTGGGATTGTGGAACCATTCGAGCAGCTTTGAGTCCGAGGCCACTCCAACTTTAACCATGTAGGAGTACGGCTCCACCTTGAAGGCCCAATAGTGTCTGCAAGACAAATGCAGCAGGACTGGACATGAGAAGACCCGCTGATTGCATTTGTCCCGTGACACCTGTGGTGCAAAAATCTGGTGGCGGCTGATAAAGACTATTATAAGATAATGGTGGTTAATAAACCCACCACCTCAAAAATAGTTTATCAAATATTGTTTCATCTTTGATTCTTGAATATTTCATATGCAGACATGATGTAGTTACAGGTCTAGTTTTGCACCACACTGCCTGTGATTAGTCATTCCTGCCTAAATTTAGCTCTGGATGATGTTTGTGCAGCCGTCCTTCAGAAGTCAAACAATGAGTCCCTCCTGAACGCCAAGTTGTAATTGTGCAAAGCAAATACTTCTGGAAACAACCTTTGTACAAAGTCTCTGGGTTGTCAGTTTTTCACATACCTCCCCTGAGAGATGCCTGTGTCCCCAATTATGTAGTCCAGGCCAATGTAGCTGCCCGTCTGCACCCGTTCAGCTGCAAGAAGGAAGGCCATGCTCGCCACGCTCTCCACAGCGTCCCGACGCTTGTTCAGGATGAGGCGATCCGTACTGAAGCCACACTTGTCGCTGAACAGGAAGCCAAAAGCTGCGGACAGACAAGGCAGAAAAAAAAAAAAAAAACACTGGTTTAGAAAAGGTAGGTGGGGAAGGGGAGAAATCCAAGGGTAAAAGTTGTCAGATAAATAAAACTTGAATGGAGAAAAAAGCGATTTTCCCATCAGGTAAGATTTAGAGCGGTGTAGGGGACAAGAGCGGCCAGATGAGGGCGATGTAGTACAATGCTGACGACCCAAGCAGAGACCTACTTCAACATCTCACCATGAAGCCCTCATTTCTTATGTGCAGCTGCCACTTACATCCATCATCTGGGTTCAATCAACCGCACTCTATTAATAGTTTATGGGCCAGAGGCTACGATTACCATAATCCACCATACATGTAGGCTGACATTATGCATGTTCACTCAACCATCCCAATCTGAGGTAGACACTGGGGAGGAACCAGCCCACTTGCATGTGTCTGGGGTCCTCCTAACAAGTAGGCTATGATGATGATGGCAGTGGAACGCTGCCTGGACAGACAACAACGGGCAGCTTTATGCGAGGTCAGTTGGGATGTACGCTTACCGACAGCCATCTTGAAACGCCATGTCAGAGACTTAAGCCTGTGGGTGCTAAACAACTTGAATCTAATAACTAAAGGGATACTTCATGTCCAATAGTCAAAGCATACCAATAGCAACTTTCTAAATTAGAATCCAATTAACAAGTACCGTAAATCTTTTTTTTTTTTTCTTCTTCTTTTTTTTTTTTTAACAGAGCGAGGACGTTGCAGCAAACGTGACAAACTGCGTCGCTCAACCTCGACCAAAACCTGAAATCGGAGTTCACGCAATCCTCATATTACCGGTTTAACATGCAAGCTTCCTGCTGGGCTTTAAGGAGCTGAGAGATCCAGCTCAAATACACCCTGACAAAGACAACCAATTGAAAGCACCTGCATCTTTAAAGTACTTTTCATTTAAAAAAAAAAAAAAAGGTTTTAAAAGGGTATGACTGGGGGGAAAATAAGCAGTTTATTCACAGTCCACTCATGCTTTGTTGGTAGTGGTGTGTGTTTTCCATAGTTAGTTTTGTCCGCTCACTCTGTCCTGAGAGGTCACCTCATTACTGACGCAGTGAATCCATCCACTCAGTCTTAAACGAACCAGAGACCACAGGAATGTGGAAGTTCCAATCACAAGTGACCTGCCTTGTGTGGGACACACATCAAAGAACAGCCGTATCATAGCAGAGGAGCAATTGATGAGTCATGTGAGCAAGAGGCTCATTTGGGGAGGAGGGGGCTAAATGAGTAAACGGTTTAGACTATTTGACAATACTAAAAATCCCACAGTATGAACAGTCAATGCAAGGTTTCCACAAAGTGAGGGAATGATTGCTCAGCAGAATTGAGGTTTAATAAATTCCACCTTGTGCCCATCAGGCAGGACAGAAATTATAACAGGTCTCTTTGGCAAGGTCTGCACAACACCAAAAGCTGTTTCAGCAGTCCAAAACACAAAAGCCATTACCATGGTGATGGTAAAAGACCACTGTGCTTCTACCTCCATCATGAACAATGCACAATTACATATTAAAGCAGTGAAGTATTTGTCATCTGATAATCCTTCAAAAATTAAAAATATACTCAAACACTCCAACGCACTCGGGGAAGTAAAAATGTAAAACTTACCAGGTGCAGGCGGTGTGTGGAAGGTGACCTCAGGGCTGTGGGGGCTGAACATGGAGTTCCTGCAGCTTCGGACCCTGAAGGAGTACAGGCTGTCAGGGTCCAGGTCACTCACCACAGTGCTGGGACCGTACACCTTGTCTGTAGTCCTCCAGCCCCCACTGTCCTCACTGTCCTCCTGGGACGGGGACTTGTTCGGGCCCCCGAGTCTGGAGAAAGGAGTGTACATAGTAAACATTTTGACCGGGAGAATCTAGCTCATCTGTGGAGCGTCCACTCTTTATTCACTGTAGTTTGTGTGCGAGCACAAACCTGCGGTACTCAAGCATGTGGTGATCTGTAGGCAGGTGGTCATCAGACAGCCTCCAGAAGATCGAGGCCTCATTATAGACTCTGCTATTGGACAAGTCGATCAGAGGAGGGTCTGGAACTGCAGGAAGAAAGTGAAATACCCAGATAGTAAACCGTGAACCAAAGACTGCCCGAGGACTGTCGGCATGGATCATCCGCTCATAAAGTAAAACAATCTACAATCATTTTGTAAGAAATTCAGCAAATAAAAACAAGGCAAAATAGATTTTTTTGTGTAGATGTAACCGCTTGTGCATTAATGAAAAAAAACTGCAGTACTAAACATAAACAGAAGGAAATTCCAGTAAAAGCTCCCGTCTTAAGCGTGCTTAGTAAAGTGCTTCAGCTCAATATCTGGTTTAGGCAAATGCTGCAGTGTTGGTCAGGATCAGGACAATGGACAAGACTCTTGCATAATGGCGCCAGTTAAGAGGTTCAGACTGCCTCACTGCCAGGAAATTCACTTTGTAAACCCTGCCCCCCCTCACCCCTCCACCATGGCCTTCTGACACCTTCACACACTTTAGTCTCTCCCACTCCCCCGTGCCATTTGTCTTTTTAGGCTCTCTCTCCCCCCGCTTGGGGGTTGTAAAGATTCCCTGTGAAACTGTAGAACTCTGTCTCATCTTCACAAGCCACTTCTCAGCCATCGTCCAACAAATCCACTCGATTTTCCCCAGGAACAGATCTGCATTACCGAAACCATGTCGGTCATTTCTCTAAGCGCTAATGTAATAATTAAAACGCATCTATTGTCCTGGTCTCTTTTGTAATAAGTCTCTCTCTCTACCCTTTCTCCTTCATCTTATGACATTCCCAGTCCTTCTGTTGAGGAAAACACGCTTCAGAAAAGATTCCCCTCGCTGACCAATTTCACCACCAACAACACAGTCTTCTGCGCCCAAGAGGATAAACTTGTGTCTCCAAAGTCTATTTTCTCCAAGGCTCAACCTGCTTTCAGGAGCTAGTATCCCGCCTTAGCCTGATGAACTAACCCACCATGTTGGTATCCTCTATAAGTAATGCAGGATTAAACTTGATGAGGCGTTTCAGTGCCGACTACATTTTGAAGGTGTCTTTTGACACACAAAATGGATGAAAAATAGTCTTTATTTGTCCATTGTTATCTGGTCACCACTAGTAAGTCAGGGACACTCAATAGCTTTCGTGGCTCATGTAAGAACACCTTCATGTTTAGAAGACAAGTAAGAGTTGCCACATCGCATTATGAGAATAATCCCCATTATATGATTTACACAGAAAAAAAATAAATCAACCAGGAGCGATAATAAGCCTTGTTTTAGTCTTTTTATGACAGATGGACCAATAGGGAAAAAAAAAAAAAAAAAAACCCAACATCGGGCCGTCGGCCATCAAACACAGCAGGAAGCAGTAAAAATAAATTCAGTGACAAATTTAAAAAAGGAAAAACAACTGATGGTCACATATAGTTAAGGCTGCTGCCAGATCGACAGACAGCAGCCAACCAAATTACACAGCAGGGAGTTACTCTACATTCCACAATTGTTAGAGGACTAGACTCTCCGCTCACCCAGATCTCCAAAAGGATATTTATCCAATAAAACTGACTGGCAGTGGAAAAGTATGAAGCAATGTTTTCAGCCTGACATTTTGTGAAAACTCATTTAAAAAAAATGAAAGCTCATTTCCACTCGACAACAGTCGCTCACATTCTCTCATGAAGCAAGAGGTCAAGATCTGCAGCCAGTTTAATACGAGAGCACAAACACGCCGTTATCCAAGAGGGAAATATGGGACAAGCAATGAGCAGCGAGCTAAACCCCAGAGGAAAGACTGCTACCATTCATACTCAAAGCCTCACAGTGGCACACTAAGTGTTTTTTCTCTGACTTATCAGGACGCAATACACTCCGCAATGACTAAACATATTAGCAATAGCTTTACTGTCGGCTAAAACAGATTGGAAAATCAGCCTGATGCGTTTTTAGTCTCCTCTATAAGCTTTGTGTTCAGTGAGTTTTTTTTCCCACTGCCAAAACGTCAAATTAAATTACCGGCGTGTATTAATGCACCTGAAGCTTCTTTTCACTCTGAGCTCCGACTAAGAGCATCAGTAACTCACACAGGATCCTGTGTGGATTAAAAAGACCATCAATGTAGGTGCCACCAGCCGGATTGATTTAGAGTCTATCTATTTTTAGAGTTTACCTTCTATTTTCTGCAGTGTGGAGATTATTAAGTCTAAAGAGGCGAACCGTGAACATGCATGTTAAAGTAAGCCCCAAACCTCAATAAAAAATTTTAAAAAAAGGTATCTGGTATCGTTTCGCCAAAAAGAAAATGGTTGAGGTAGATTTGTATCCACTGAACATTTACACAGTGGGGTGTTTGATGTGCAGCGTCAACATTGTAGAGACGACAAACTACATTCATTAAATTCCTTCCCTTATAAAAGGTTAATGAAATAAGTCCATATTAAAACAAAGGACTACTTACAAAAACTGAAATAAAATAAAATTCAACAGCCTTCCAAAAATGGCCCAATCGAGTGACTTCTCAGCTTTGCTTAGTGCCAGATCAGGTGATTCAATTTGCTGCATTCCATGCAATGTTCCTTATTTTAATATACATCTTTCTTATTTGTAGTATTTCTTCCATTAAACTTGACCTCTCATATACTTTCTAAGTTTAATTGGTTTAGTGATTGTCAATCAGTTTTCTTTAAATCACTTGTACACAAAGTGGTCCATTTCCAGTGTATAGCCAGTGAGTCTACACAGAATCAACAGTTGGCCTCAGTGATGAATCATCACTGATTTTAAACAAGCCAACAGGGCCACAAACTCGCCAACGGCCACGGAGACAAACGCCTGGCGTTCCACTTGAGGGCTGATGGCTCCACGCCATAGAGACCTCAGCCCTCGTCGTTGTTAACTTTTAATAACCAACATTTTCTGGAAGCCCAGCTGCCGCTTTTCAACAGTTAACTTTGTATTGGACGGACGGTCTTAGCATTTAACGGGAGGACCCCAAAAAAACTGTCTGGCTAAATAAGACCAAAAGAAAAAAAACCTCACACACTCAGAGACCAGAAACCACCACTCAACAAACACGTCTCAATCCCCAAATCCTATCGTTCAGTGTATATTACTCATTTTTTTATCTGTCCTATAACTTTATACTGAAATAGTGAGTAATAATCCCGCCAAGTACCAGTTCAATGAAAATAGCACGTGTCCCATGTACCTTGGGAAACTTCCATCCCAGACTTTTAAAGCTTTTGTAGGTCAGGACCGGAAACAAGCTTCCTAGAGCAGTTAAACGTACAATGGGTAGCCTACAGATGACCTCCGACCTCTGGTACAGCATAGTTTACTTGGCTGTGCATGTGATTGACAGGTAATGACATTCAGCCTATTCTGACCAAGCAGATACTAAAATGCCTGGCTTTAAGATCAAGCTCATTTTGTTCAACTAACCTTTGCCAAGCTGGCAAGCTTTGCCACCGTCTAGAGACACAATGTGTGCAGACACTACAGTGGAGCAGTGTACTGCGAGAGAACAAAACAGGCATCAAACAGCCAGAAAACATGTCAACTGTTACATTACGCTTTAAAAACAAAAAGGTTTTGTAAAGAAAACAAGTTCTAAAATGTTGAGTGTTTAGTTTTAAATCTTGTACATGGGGAAACTTAATGAGGCCATCGCTCAATATCATCTGCCACCACTTAATATAAATAAATTGGTTGTACCTCCACCAAAGCACATCTCTTTGAGCAGAGTTTCCTCTTTGGATGTGTCCAGCACAAACTCGTCAAAGCAGGGGTCAGATGCAGGGTGGAAGGTCCTCAGAGACTCCGTGGCCTTCTGGATCCTGAAAACACAAAGTAGACATAAAATAAATGTAATATTTAATAGGAAGCTTATTTTGAATACAATGAAATCACTAATGTGTGCTGCACCATTTCTATAAATCAAATCATGTACTCATGACACTCATTTGGGTAGGTGTGTCTATATTACATTTGTTTTTGTAACGGAAAAGGGTGCTTGATGTACAGGCCCCAGCGGAATGCCAGAGAGAGTGAAAAGGTTTCTTAATTATCCAAAGCTTCTAATGGAGATCAATTAGTCAGCTTAGAGCAGAAGATACAGTGCTGACTCGACACTGCGGCAAAGTTATTTCCTCGACTGCCCTTGCCTTTGGTAACCTCTGTGCATGCGGCTATATGCGTTTCTGACACACTTCACGCGTAATCCGATTGATGCTCAACACCAACAACTCTCTCGATCCCACGAGAAGGCCACTGGGAAACTGGGCGGGACGGCTTCCGTTATGTTCGGTTGCACATGTCCCCTACAGTTCCATAACATTACTTTATCTGGACGAGCAGCAATTCAATTATAAACAGACCATTTAAGTTAAAACATTAACGGCTTGGCCTGACTTTCACTAATAGACATGTGAATACCTTCAGAAATATAAAACAAATGGCCATTACACCCTTCATCGAAAATGACATCACTGACATCTACCTGGTATGCAGCTGCTTAGCAGTCTGTACAAAGCACGACTGATCCGTCTCCTTCAGCACCTCCTGGGCGTAGCCCACCAGACCGCTGTTCTCCAGCATGCCCTGGTACTCCTCCACCTGGGACGTATATTCAAAACGCCAGAGCAGTTTAACATTTGGCTTGAAATAAGTGGCATCCTCAGAAAAACAAAATCTCAATATAAAATGGTCAGTTTCACCCTGAAGCAGATATCAAAGAAGACTTTTCTTCTTGTCATACTTGTGATGAAAGCACAATTTTTCAACAGCATGTATGAATAGAGGATCCGGTGTAGAAGTGAAACAGAGTGCCGATCGTTCATACCTGAACCTTCAGTTGGTCCAGGCGTCGGCTTCTAGACTGTTCGATGGACTTTAGCATCTCTGACTTCCTCTCCTGCAGAGTCTCAAACAGGTGCTCAAAGTGCTCGTTGGCTTGACGCTCTGCTAGCTGTCCATTTTCCTTTGAGAAGATGGATCATTTTGTTATCAGTTAGTAGGAAGAAAAATGTATTTCTTCAAAAGGTCAGAGTATTGAGTCTGTAAGCATGTTTTTCTCCTCATATTCCATCCAATACTAAAGGATGGAGGCAGTAGTTTAAGGGCTCACTGTATTAGTTGATTAGCGACCTCATGTTTGTTTTACGGAATTAAAACTGGTTTGACAGGTGTTTCTAAACACAGGAGTTGAATACACAGTCACGCCCATTCTGAGGAAACAGTCAAAGAAGCTTAAAACGGTCACATTACACAAGTATACAAAGAGACAGATTAAATGACACAAAAAGTGCTAAAACCAAGAGAGCATCCAAACGCTTCTTACAAAACATCAGAAGCACAGGAGCGTTGAACGTTCTTTTAGGACCAGCATCGAAGGGACAAAAAAAAACAAAAAAGAAAAGAAAAGGGAAACTAGTATGCAAATCCTTTCCTTCCTTGTTTGCATACTGTTTGTTCCCCAAACAGTCCCTCATTCGTAAACAGAACAACTTGGCACACTGCTTTTGTGAAGTGATAAACATTAGTATAATTTACAAGACGACAACACAAGTTCATTCTGCTTTCTAGAAGTACATTTGAGCAGACAAAATGGATAAACAGTAGGGGTGGGGGAAAAAAAAAAAAAATCAATTTTTCAATTCAGTCTCGATTCAGAAGTTAATAATCTGAAGTGGGCGGAGCCAGTCACCATGGTCTCTACACCTGGTTACAAAGTCTTTGGATTGGCCCGAGTGACTCATTCACACAACTATAGAAGCCCATTTCCGCACTAATGTAAGGGGATAAAAAGAAATTATGAGATAAAACGTCAAAAAACGAACGCCCCCCCTTCGGTAATCTTAGTGGACCGTAGACGACAACCAGCTACAAACATCATTACCGGCACATTAAGAGCAATGCGTCCACCTCGCAGACCGGTCCGTCAGTCTGAATCTCTTGCCAACTTTACCGAACTATGGAGGAGCCTGCGCATATCTTACCTCATTATTTCGATTTTCCAAAAAGTCGATCCGTATTGAAAGTTGGCAAGATATTCACAGATTTGGACTTTTTTCTGTTATTTTACAAATATGGACCGGTCTGAGACTTGTATTTGTGACAAAGGTTTTATTTTCCTCTCATAAAAAATTAGAGAAGGTAATTCATCTGTTGATTTTCTTTAATTATCAAATAAAGTAGGAAGAGATTAGCAACCTCTGAGTAGCAAACTCAGATTTGATAAAATCGAGATGCATCGATAATCGTTTTATCAGTTTAGAATTGATAATCGGTTTAGAATCGAATCATGAGGTGCCAAGAGATTCCCACCCCTAATAAACAGGACTTTCGTCAGCGTGACTCAGCGCTCACCTCGGTCTGATTGATGAGCACCTCGAGATCAGTAATCTGAGTCCTGACCTGGTCCTCTTTGCTGATGAGGTAATGGATACTCTTGGCCAGCTTCTCCTGTTGAAATAAGATCAGCCACATATAAAGTAAGTTTCACTTAAAACACGCACGCGCACGCGCGCACGCACGCACGCACGCACACGCACGCACACGCACGCACACGCACACGCACGATTGATGTGCCATTTGAAGGAAAAGGGCGGGATTAATCAATTTAGACTCCTTGCTCACATTCTCAAGCTTTGACACAGCGTTTTCCTCTCATCTTATATCATAGTCACAGCTGCAGCTACTCAGGTCATGTCCCGCCCCCATTTCAGATCCAAAAGAATATGACTATTGCTGTTGAACGCAACGCCATCTACTTCCTGGCAGACAAAGCATTCCAGAACTGTTCAGGACATCAGATACATCTTCCAACGATTTGTAGAGACAATGCACACAAAATACCAGGGAACAAACGGTCATTAAATATTTAGCACCATGGTGTTTGTTTCAACACAGACAGGCAGATTAAATTGCACACAGATTCTGCCTCGACTTGCTGAACCACTCGGCTCCTGGTAGCGTCCGCGCCACACAAGCTGAATCAAACAGTTTCTAATGTGTGGATCAATCTGTAGACCACACATGGAACAAATACGCTTTAACCCAGTTTGCCAGTCGGGTTTCAGTTTATGGACATTGCTACGTTAAAAAAAATAAAATAAAATAAACTGAACAGACACGCCACTAGGCACCAAAGACAGTGGGACAGCTTGATCCTTTACATCCTAAGACAGTGTTTCATTACACGAACAACTCTAGAATTTGGTACCTTGAGGATCTTGTAGGCGCTGCTCATGGAGGTGACCTTGTGGTTGGCGTGGGATCCTCCCAGCTTGCAGAGGTGACACACGGGTCGTCTGCAGACCTCACAGTACATGTTCACCTTCTCCATCTCGTGCTCTGGACACATGAGCACCTGGCACAGTCAACAGAACAAGGAGTTAGAATTCAAGACAAAATGAATCGGTGCACAGTTGACATTTTTACTTCTACAGTGATCAAACTAGCTGAAGTGAAACAGGAACATGGTCTGAACTTTGCAAGAATAAGCACCTCGCTGTGAGCCATTTCCTAAAAAGGTTCCCTTATTTACTGCCAAGATTCCAACTCAAACTTATCACAGGAAGGATTTACCAGTTGGATAAAAAGGGATTGGACAGAGAAAAGCAATTATAAAGCCAGTTTCCAATCAGGCTTCAAATATTTAAAGCATTCTAAAGACAATGGTCCAGATTGGGAATTCCAATCAATTTCAGAGCCACGGGAAAGATTGAGAAATCAAATCAAATATTATGTGTAAAAATATATGCAAACAAATACTCATAGAAAAGGTATGCCCTGATTACAAGGGAAAAACTAGCTATGGAGACATTCCACCATACAAGAAAAACATCCCAAAGCTCCCCAGACAGAAAAAAAAAATCTATACATGCTGAAGTGTACTTTGGACTCTTGTCACAACTTTACTCCCAAGCAATGTTCGTAGTCAACACAGTCAAGTCTTGTTTGTCTTAAAGGAACAACAGATAAACAGCAAGGGGGGAAAAAAGCCAGATAAAGCCTTCACAAGGCAATGATGGACGGTACTTGCCTTGGGCCTAAAGTTTGTGGTGGGACCAACGTACTCGTGCTGAGCTTTGGGTGTGCCCCATGGGTGGTGCAGCTTGAAGCACTCGTTACAGAAGCTGGCCTTGCAGTCCATGCAGCTCTTTGTAGCCTCCTGCTGCGGCGGCTTACAGATGTTGCACGTGATGGCGACGGCCGCGCGGGCGGCCTGGCGGTAGCGCTCGACGATGTTCTCCAGGGTGAAGTTGCGGAACAACATGCTGATGCCGCGCTCGCCGAGGTCGATGTCGTGCTGGCAGCCCGGGCACGGGATGGCGGTTACCCGTGGAGTCACGGAGCCTCGACGCCACCCGGGGGAAGACATGGAGCCTGGAGGAGAGCGGAGAGATCGGCGAGTGAGAAAAGATCCGACTTAATGTGGGTTCATGGCTTTGAGCCCCCAGGTTTAAATCTCGTCTGAGGCGCTATTTTGACAGGCGAACAATAATGTCCTTTGACTGACCATTACAATGCAGGCATAGTTTAAGAGTCAAATTGAGGGGCTTTGAAATGTGTCAGCACCCATTTGAGTTGCTCACATTCTGGGCTGAAATTCACTGAAGCAGCATTACATCATCTGCATGTCTTGCCAAGTATGATCTTAAGGAAAATACCTTTGATAATACATGTAAGCAGTCATAAATAGGGCCTCATGAGTCTCCCTTTGAGCTTTATTTCCATAATGACATGAATGTATGCAGGAAAACATCAGTACAGGGAATGTATTGGCTAGTTGTCATTACAGGGAAATAAGTCCAGGAAGATACTTTCCAAGATTACTGGGGCTGAGTGAAGACGTATGAGATGGTCATAGGGGAGGATGGCGTCATTGGAGCTCAGAGAAGCTGAGTAGTCAATGTTTAACTACAGGTCTTTTAACAAAGAGGATGCAAGTGCACACAATGAGCTGGACAACTGAAATAATTACCTTTTCCTAAAAATGAGTTATCAGGAAATGTATTTTTTTAAAGAGTCAAGCACTGGAACAGAATTACAAAATGTGAAGTAGAACAAACAAAATTTGAAATAAAAAAAAGTCCTTTCATATCAATAGTCCAGGTTAATGCATCACTTATTTTCACATGACAATAAAATCAAAACTCTTGAAAGCAGTTTGCTTTCAGGGGTTTCTCACAACATTGTGCTTGTTATCGATGCAGCTGCATCGCAACAAAGCAGCAACAATTCACAGGGTCACAGCACAGAGGCAAGCAGTGGGGAATGCAAAATTCAAAGCGCCAGCAAACAGACGTCACTATACGGGAAAATAAATGACAAAAACAAAAGTATTGCTTCACGTTTCTGGGGGACAGGGGAAGCAAGGAGTGCTGGATTTATCTCAGTACGCAAGCCAGTATTTCCACTTCGTTTCCAAGGACCTGAAAAATCAAACACTCCTCAGGTAAGCCAAATACAGGAGCTTTAGCAAAACAAAAAGGTGCAGCTGAGGGAAAAGCAGTGGCAGAACAGAAGACACAGACTAGGTGATACGTGTAGCCATGATGTGCATGAAGTGTGACGGAGTGATGCGAGCTGGACTGAGGACGGGCTTGTGCAGGGACAGTCTGCTGCCTAGAGACCCAATTACTGAGCCTTGATAGCAAAGGACTCATGACCCTTCAAATCTGAAAGCAAAGGACAAGAGGCGTCCTAAACATCGCAGGAGGGACGTTGGGATAAACAACTTAGTCCAACGATGAAGGCGACATGGTCCAGTTAGGTGAAATAGGATGAGAAGTTTTACTTAAACCAAAGAACGGTGATGGAGAGTGAGCGAATGAATTACTATGATTCATGTGTAAAACTGCACACAACTCCGGTTCTGTGGACAGAATGGCAGGTGTTGGGGAACAGGAGGCAAAGAGTGAGTGCGCCCGTTTATTTGTGGATCTGCACAGGGACGCAGGAGGCAAAGGGAGAAACTGACGAGTCATCGCTGAGCCAAAGGGTGTCGCTCCGCTGCACAAATCTGACACAGCAGCTTGAACTGATGCAGCATTTGAGCTACATTTAAATTAGACTGTTAATGTGATCATGGCTGCACATAGTTGTATTTATTTTTTACCTGTCAGTTTAGTGAATCATGTGTAGTACCCAGGTACAGTTTCTGCTCATTTCTAATGAACATAAATCTGAAGCCCTGTTTGATTAGGCTTGTTAAATACTCCCGTTTGAAATGTTCATTCAGTTGCTGCCCGAGAAAGACTAGTGATGTGATCTGTATGAAGATCAAATTGTTTTCGTTGATGCCACATCTTCATTGTTTGCTGCTCTTTTATTTCATTCGAGTTAGCCTGTCAATACTAATATGAGCTATAAAGAGAAAAACTCTTACAAATATCCACTGAGCACATCAAATAGTTGCGTTAACCAGCCGTCATCTGACAAACAAAACTGGGATTTAGTATTTTTTTACCTGCGATCCACAGAGCGATTAGAGGTAGGCTGAAACCAGTCTGCATTCTTATCAAATGTTCTTCAGATACTATTAATTATCATAATCAGTATCCTAAAGGCAAAAATACAGTCAGTAACTCTACTTTTGGCAAGACCAAACACGTAGCTCAGAAACAACGGTTCTGCATCTCCAGCATCCAAGCAGCTTTACTTGCAGACATTTTTTAATGAAATCCTGAGCTTGGCTAGTGTACAAATTCCTGTCCCACGTCAACTCCTAGGAAACATCCTCACCCCCCGCACAGATTAGTCTCGACTCCTTTCAATTCCTTTATGTCACTTGCCAAGTCCTCCGATTCTCACCTCTCCTACACTCCTTTTTGTGCACGTCAACGCAGCTTTGAAAAGGGCAATTTAAAATTATTTTTTTTATCTGCATTTAAAATAGTCAGATTTATTTTAAATTCAGTGGACATTTTTAAAAGGGTTCAAAGTTGTGAGATTTCAAATTCAATATTTTTACCCGGGCCGACAAGCTTGAAAACATACTAATATGCAGCAACTAAATGAAGATCGGCCCAATCAGCGGTCTGTATGCAGCTTGAGTGGTCGTGTTGACAGGGCTGAGGTAGACTAGTGAGGAAAAGGTAGAACCAAACCAGGTTTTCTAGTAACTCTGTACTCACTACCACAGCTACTCAAAACACGGAGCCCCCGTCTACCTCGACTTCCAAGCGACCGTCGCACTGTGGCTGCAAGCAATGAACAGAGAAGTGAGGTGAGACCAAGAAAAAAAAAAAAAAAAAAAAAGAATCAATGCATAATGTGAAATGATGTGAGAAAGTTTGTTTTAAACATGACATTTGAGAAACAAAGTAAACTGAAGGCAAAGTCCGGTAATGCAGGTCAGAAAGAAAAACTAAAGTGTTTAGAATATGCATACAACACGTGAACAGTTAAAGCACAGTTAACTCTTGATCTGTGCACCCATTTACAGTTTAGGTTCAAAACAAATCGTTCAGAACTAGTAAGATAGTCTAGGAATAAGAAATAAGTTAATTATTGTCCATTTGCTTTTTAAATTAAAAGGAAATCAGGAAAGGAGTATTTTTGAGATACATGCTAATTTCCTTTCTTGTGACGCTGGACTCCGCAGACAGTCAGCTTGGCTTAATCAGCATTAAGCAAAACATTTAGTGTCACTCTGAAGGATAAAAACTGCACATCAGCATTACTACTACGCTACCATGAGTCAGCGTCGGGATCGTTCAACTAGATACAACTTTGTTGAGGACTTCATTAAACCCCTCCCATTGGGAGCGCAGTCCGTAATCATGACGCCTCATGTTAAAAATAATCTGGTAACACTTTTTTTTCTACCAATAAAAGTGAAATGGATGGAAGTCAGTTAGATACAAGATTTATATTGACAAAACATTGACATACATTACATCAGTAATGGCGAAGAACTTTATGCTAAGCTAACAGTGCACTGGCTGTAGCTTTATATTTAGCGTTCGTAACCAACCACCAACTGGAGGTCATAAAATATATACAAGCATAAATACTGGCTTTATGCAAGAGCACTTGTCAAGAGTTAGCTGTTGAACATTAATACATCATGTGCAGTTTGGCAACAAAAAGTGGGATGAAGTTGAGAAACAATGCCGGTGAAGTTCTATTGGCATGCACAGCAGCGGCCTGCCAAGCTGCACTTATAAATACAGCCGTAAGTCTTTCCCCTTCATCTAATCCCCCATTCGTTCCTTACAGGCAGGTCGCATCACCGTGGCTACGAATGATCTGATCTCCCGGCGATGGAGGAGGTTCCCTGAAGGACTTTGTTGTTCGGTTTGAGTTAATGTGCTGATAAAGTAATTTGCAGTTTCCCTAAATATACACTCACTTTGTGTTTTGTAATCTTTGGATTAAATGCCTTTAAAAAAAATAAAAAAAATTGAACAAACTGGAATAAAATGCAGTTTTTAAAAGCACTTTGAGTGAATCAATGCATAATAAGTAGGAATTAGCGTATGACAGACTTGTTCACGAGCTGGTTTTCAGCAAAGCGCAAGATTAGTTTACCTAAAAAGCAGGATTTTAGTATTTCCCACCAGTGAAGAATGAACTCTTTCAGGTGTAAGAGGGGAGTCTGAATGAGGCGGGCTGTGCTCGAGAGCCCGCGCTCTGGTTTGGAACCATCAATGGCTGAATGGCTCCCAAAATAATCAGCTCACCTCACTGTGGCTCTGAGCCCTTTTGGCATCTTTGCTAAATGGATACCAGTTTACACCAAATGTCTCATAGTATGGGCCATTGATTCATACATTTCATGTGAGCCAATTCTGACTTTACTAAATCCCTTCATGTGTCCCAAAAACACACTGTACTCGTTATGATGCAGTGGTTTTGTGTCAAACAAGTTCTGCCCCAATTCCGTGCAAAATGCTAGACAGCGTTAATCATTTCTATGCCAATGTAAACGTTTCACATTACTCTAAATTAACCTTCAAAAGCTAAAGTACCGAACTCAGACAAAACCTAAAAGAGACGGCATCTTTATCAGAGGCATGTAGCCTGCAGCTCGGAGGGAGGGAAGGCAGCGTCGTGTCCCACCACGCAGTTTAATGTCTGGGACATTGACCCGCTCAAGATTGAACTTGAAAATGTTGTGACGAGTTAAGTCAGCTACCTCCAGCGCTCAAGAGGGCCTCGTCAACGCGTCTTTCCTCGTGGAAGACAAACCTACAGACAATATTACATCAGAGCTGTAAAATAAGGAAATCCTTTTCATGTTTGTTTATCTAGGACAAGAGAGGGAGGGACAGTACCCGCCACACTAAAATTGGACATCATACAGTAATGGCCATTGTTTGGTCTTGCTCAGAACTTCCATCAGCTCATTTACTCTCAACCTTTGATCTGCATTAATAAAGACTTGCTCTTCACAGTGAAACTACCCTTTGTGTTGGTCTGGCTGTCAAACATTGTATTTGTATTACACATTTCCCCATTTGAGGGAAACATAACTTTTTGTTCTTTAAATGACACCTGAACCAACACCTGAATCTAAGGTATTGGAGGAAAACAATTTACAGGAAGTTGGCAGAGACTGATGCAAAACTTTTGCAGTTTCACTTGGAAGCCGTCCCAAACGCCCCGAGATGCACTTAAATAGTTGTACTTCCTGCTCAACGATCATTAGCTTCCATCCGCTCATAATCAGGCTGCCCAACAGCATAGCACGAACACCTCGCCAACTAACACCTCAACAACCTTTTAAAGACAGTAATGGAGATCCACGTCGTTGCACTAAACTCCACGCAATAAAATTGTTCCTGCACAGAACACATTCAGTAGATCTGAAGAGAAGAGAAAAAAAAAAAGAATCTGATATCTTTGGCTCCTTACCCCGAGACCCACCTGATCTCACTAGCCTGTCCAGCCTCTCCATGGAAGGGGAGGGCACCCTGGACCTGGGGCTGCCCGGCAGGGAGCACTCGGAGCCGGCATCAAAAGAGTCCTCATGGTTGAGCATCAGCAGCTCCCTGACACACTTGTGGCAGACGCTGTGCTGGCAGGGCAGGATCAACGGATGGGTGAAGAGCTCCTTGCAGATGGGGCAGATCAGCTCCCGCTCAATGTTTTTGATCGGGACCTGGTGGAGAGAGAGAGAGGGAGAGGGAGAAGACGGGATCACTGGAAACTGCCACATAGGCACTAGGAGTTTGGCGCTCGGGCACAATCACAGCTGCTGTGGTCTTTAAAAAGATACTCCAACGTGAGACGAGCGGAAACAAAAACAACAGAAGGCATCACGGATCAGTCTGAAAAAAAGGGCTTGGCAACGTCACCAGAAGAAAAGGATACAGCTGTCTTTGATTCTAACAATAACCTATTATTAGGACATTTCAGATGCAGCTATAATAGGTTCCTTGTTTGCACTTTAAGCTGGGAAAATTACATTTTCCTTTGTTTGAGTTGTGGAAGAACGGATCTTAAAAAAAAAAAAAAAGAAAAGAAAAAGCTGGGTACAAGTGGCATGTAGTTATTTATACAGAGCGAACTTTACTTTGAAAAGCAACGATGTGGTCGCAACAACGTCCAGCCGCGGTGTCTCTAACGCGTTTGATACAACGATACATTAGTTACATAAGAGAGGATTAAGTTCATCTAGCTAGATATAGACAAAAGGGAAGAACGCGACTCCCGCAGCTCACTTTTTCACATTAAAAAGACGATTAAAAAATAAGTTTCTGCGAGTCCAAAGAGCGCGCGCCGGCTGATTGGTTAATGTCCTGCAGGTGGTGCGATTAAAAACTGTTCAATAAAGTCCACCGAACGGCCACTTAGTGAAGAAGCCTCCGCACGGAGACAATACCCTTAAAGATAAGATGAAAGTTCAATAACAGGCACAAAAAAAGACTAGTCAGCGTTCATCCCCAGTTCTGCTCAAAGCGAATCGCTCCATTAACAACATATAAAAGTATAAACAACGGCTGGAATCAGGAATGAATGAAGGAACACGCGCTGGAGGCAGATTCGGGCTCCACTAAAAATGGCCAACGTGTTACAAAGCCCCCCCTGGGTCACTTCACGTGCACGCTGCAGCCCCCCAAAACAACGACGGGACGGAATGCAACACAACAAAAACAACCTATATGTACGTTTTCAAACCGCGGCTTCGCTCTTCTGCAACTCACCGAAGTGGAGCTTCTGCGCCGCTTCTCCGCGGACATGCTGAGCGAGATGAAGCCCACCGACGGGGACCGTAAGCGGGCGGACTGTGGTTGCGTTCGGGCCAAACAGGGACCTCTCGGTACCGCGGGCGAAGATGCCGGCAGCGGAGCTCTGAGTGAATTTAAATAGAGTGACGCGGGCGGGCCCGACGCGTGGGGGTGGAGAGAGACGAGGGGGAGGGAGGGGGGGGGGGGGGTCTCCCATAGGAACTGATGCTGCCTTCACGTGCCGCTCGTAAACTGTATCAGAGAATGACTTTGCATCGTCGCCTCCGCTTCAATCAGAGTGAATGAGGGTCGAGGTTGGTCACGTGACAGTTTGATTTTGATTGACAGTTTAAAGCTAACGTGCTCAAACGACAGCTGTCGTGCGGATGTGTTAAGTCTGCTCAAGTCTGCTAGGATGCTAAAATGTGTTCATTTGCACTGAACAGAAAATGCAGCCGAGGCGTATTGGACATCTGAAGTTTATTAGTAGTATTGATCAAATTAAAATCTGAAGGGAAGTCAATGTCATTGCCTGAACATGAACGTTTGTGAAGGATTTGTAGAGATGTTTCAGACTGGACCAAAGTGATGCACTGACCAGTAGCGCTCCCTCTACACCGAAATAGACCTAATTATATCTCTCCATTCAAAACAAATCACGTAGAAAGAAATGGACATAAATGTAGACGAGGGAGGGAATTGGGGAGAAAGTGTCTTCAGGCTGCAGATGTATTATTCTTGACCTCGTAGCATGAAAAACATTGTGTGTTTTACAATGCAAACAGACAGGGGGTTCGCGGTGTCATCAACTTCAATTTAATTCGCTTATAGAGTCTAACTATCAGTCTGTATTTTAGCTCAGACTGATAGCTCTCAAAGGCCTCCCAACACGTTGCTCTGTGTTTTTATGAAAGACAAACTGGTTTTCAAATCCCAGCGGTGTGACAATGGGCTTCTGTGGTGGGCCATCAAAGCCCCAATGTCTATTAATGCCTAGTTTCCTAGTTTCAGGTGATTTATGATCTGCTAACCGCCCGCTGCAGTGGTCATTGATGAGGTCTGCAGTTCATTATATTGGAGAGAAGGGCCTCCATAGCAGGTCAACAATACTTTGGTTTAAGCACTAAATGGACCATGTAAGAGCTTTCTGGGGAGGGAGCTGTGTTATTTTTAGGGAGAACACTGTGCAGCAGAACAGAATGATGTGGAACAAAAATGTTTGAATTACCACCAAGCAGAGTGTGCACTGAAGGCATCTCGAGGACTGTTGAGTCATTCGCTTTTCCAACTTGGTGGCAGCAAACCAGCAGCTCCACAGTATCAAACACCCTGGAGGTATAAGAGAGGTTCCATCTATGTCTACATTTCAATCCAATATCTAGATCTATATCTTTCTGCGTTACCGGAATGTTCTGTGATTGGAGCCTGTTGGGACCAACGGGGCCCACGGGAGTTGAAACCATCCAAACGGCTCTGTGAAATCCTCCGTTATTTTCTCTAAAGTCAAAATATTTAAAGTGCTGGCTACATGTGCATTTGCAAATGGGGTTGCAACAAAATAGTTAAGAATTTCAGAATATTTGTATTTGAAAATTGGATTTTGACAGACTATATATTTCTGACTCAGATTCGCTGAATATGCAGTAAAAACAGTTCCACAAAGCTATTGTATGATTTAAAAAATGTTAATATGTTTGGTCACTCTCTTGTTGTATTATATTTTAACGTAGCATGAAAAAGACCCCATTGTATGTTTGATTATTATTATTTTTACACAGAGATCAGAGTAAACCTTGTTGTTCATTGTGCAAGGCAGGCTGATTAAATGTCAACAAATCACTGAATTCAGTAACCGTATCTGCAGTCTGCTTTTTCTTTTCTTCAATCGACACATGAATCACACACACACACACACACACACACACACAGAGTTAATGCTTGGCTGCATGATTGCGTGAGCAGAGATGCATTTCAACACAATGTGTGTCAATGTAAAGACCCCCTCACGTGGACACGCACACCTCGGTAACCCAGTGCCCCGTCTCACCACACAGCTGCTGCCAAGTGTCCCACATATTGACAGGAGCGGGTGATCTGCCTGCAGCCCGAGCTCACTACCGACAGCCACCGGATCCTCTAATCAAGCTCTTTACGCTCACGTTTTCCCCCTCTAAGAATAGAAGCCTATACGCCTTCAAGCCCCCAGCCTTGACCTAAAGAATTCAATAGAACAGAGATGCGCATCTGCTATGAACTTCTATGAAAGAAAAGGGTCATACACTGAAAAAACGAACTTGGTGGTGTAGTAAAATATACTAATTAAACTGTCCTAATGTCTACAATTAAATTTTTCGTTTCTGCGGGAACTAGATTTTGTCAAGTAAAATTTCATGTATGTACACAATTTATTTATGTATTTAAAATGGCTGTGTGGAAGGAGTAAGTCTTATTATGGATGTTTTCATAACATTTAAATGTTTTTTAGTCTCTGCTAGAAACACTAAAATACTGAGTAAATTTTACGACACTATTTTAGAGTGCGTTTGAATCAGCGCATGCGCATTGGGACAAACGAAAGTACCGCGCGGATGTCCATTGTCCGTCCGTTCGTTGGCAGCAGACAGAGTTGTGAATATCTCCGGAATCTCTCAGGTAAGTAACAGCTTTATCCATTAAATAATTTATTATCAGTTTAAAACGCGTTTTGGTGATTAGTTTGAAGCACTGTATGGACTGCACACCGAGCGGTCTACACCAAGGTTTGTGTGATGTAGCTTAATGCTAGCTAGCTAGTTATTACCCAGTTCATTCCACCAGAGTCGCACACCGCGCGGTTAATTTGCGAGATACTATATCTTATTCAGAGCTATTGTATTTTGTCTCATGTACTGTCCCGTGTAGTGCGAATATAACACAACGCTACGCCAAAGTTTTTCGTTTTTTTAGTTATTGTCTATGTGCTTTCACCTCGAAACATCATCTCAACTTTTAGCATGGCGGCCGCGTTGCGGTGTATCGTTGAAGCTGCGTGCCACGGTCAAGAGACAAACACAACATGAAAATGGCTGTAAATTAATCTATAAATTATAAGTTGCCCTTAAAAATATGTGTTTTCATTCACAGGCGACTGTTTTTGTATTTAGCCGGCTGGGACATGAGGTGACCAGAGAGTCAGGAGCGCTGGGATGTTCAGTGACTAATCAAATACTGCACCGTTGTGATTAGGCAAGTACAAATACACTGCATGTATGCATGACACAATATTGCTGTTTCTCACTCTCTGTAACATACTTCTCCTTTCCACACATGGAAACAAACCACTGCTCCTTGCAAGTATTCGTATCTTCTGACATGATAGTATATTGTGTACAAATTATTGTTTGCAACTGATGCTATTACTCCTTTCACAGAACCCAAGCACTGACATGTGACGTGACGCAGTTATCAGTGGCCTCATACTATTCCTTGGTGAAAAAGAAGAGAAACTTTTCGAAGATTGCCTGGTAAACCACGTTTTCTTTCTAAAATAATTTTTTGTCTCTTTACTTGAGTACGATATCTATGGGTGATTTTAATATATTTTTTTGCACCAAAGTAGTATTTAACCACCAAATTTAATTTTTTTTACTTAGGCATAACTTTTAAATACGTTTTACAACACTTCTTGTAATAGTCTATAGAAGGCTGGTATTCCTACTCTTGAATTGTTGTCAACTAAATAGTTTTCTTTTTTCTTGTGAATTTCATGCAGGAGGACAATCGCAGTGATGCCACTCAACACATAGTCAAGATCCTGGTTGTCCATGGTACTGATGGAGAAGAACCAGTAGATGTTTCCATCATTCTTGAAGGGAAGGAGGTATTGACATGATGCAACAGCACAGCCAAAGCTTGCACGTTGCTAATGGGACTGATTTATTCCCTGAACCTTGCCTACCCCTCGACTCTGCGCTACACCTTTGAGGTGTTTCAAAAACTTTTCCTGGAACTGAATGGGATAAAGCTGTCACCAAAAGTACATCTTTAAAGTTGAAGTTGCTGTCTGAAAGGAGTTTTCTTTCTTAAATGTTCCTAATGTTGTCAACAAAGGCAACTGCTGTCATTCATGCTCACAAGGTAAAAAAAAAGTTAAAAATAACCTTTGTTTTAAAGGTTTTAACAGAGGATTTGATGTTGTCCTCAAACTTTAATGTTTTAACCGAATGCTAATATAAATATGTTAATGGATGTTGTTGTTTAGAATGTTGTTCATGTCAGTACAGCATATTTTGTCAGGTCAAACCCTCAATCTGTTTTGTCACCTGATGTGCCCTGTTTAGTTTAATGCGTCCAGGAGTCAAAAACATTTTGATTTTCCAGTGATATGCTTTTTTTCTGTAAAGCGTAATGATCACTCAGTAAAGGTAAACTTTTTTCTTTATTGATGCTTGATTGATGCTTTATTGATTTACTGCTGCTGAGATTTCATTTAATTTTTTGTCATGTGAAATGTTGACTGCTGTTTCATGTACAGTTCTACATAGCTGTATAAAATGAGGTGTTACGTAAGGTACCTGACAAAGGTTTATGAATAAATAATGGAATTGTATTTTAGCCGTGTGATTATTAATAGTATTTGGTAATATTTATCAAAAGAGAATTTGCAACATTTACATAAATGAATTAGGTAATATAACTTCAAACAACCAAGTAATTAAAATGATCAAACAGGATAAAAAGTACTTGATAATTTTACGACAGTAAATATCAAAGATAAATAAAATCTACTCAATATTTTGATGTTGTAAATGTATATGTATACAAAAAATATAGTATATTGTACTTAATTTGTGTGTGTAATAAAAATTGAAACATCAGTTAAACTAAGTAACACTTACCTAATATTTTCACAAATGTTACCATCAGAAATAAGTAGATTTTACTTAATACTATTAAGGAACTTTTACTGGATATCACAGCAGTAAATTTTACTCAAAAATTTTGAGTGCAAATTGTTACGAGGATTTTTTTAAGTAAATGTTAATTGTCGTTTTTTTCAGTGTACCTTCTTATGATGTCGAAGCAGAGACTTAATAAAATGAACAGAACAGGATACAATTTATATATATAAAAGGACTTTTGAAACACATATTTAGCATGGAAAAATACAGAATGCACAAGATAGATGGATAGAGAGACAGACAGGACAAGATCCAATAGAACAGATAATGTATAATCATAAATTATAATAGCAGGAGAAAGTAGAATAGAACCTAAAATGATATCAATGGTTAATATATCATTTAATAAACTAAATAGGTATCCGTTTGAGACACAAGCCTTACGTTGTGACACAGCATTGTGTGTGCAAATAGACAACTCAATCACAAAAAACTCCACATCCATCAGTTACAATATCTGCACGAAGAGTTAAATATAACACAACAATAATATTGTTTTTAAAAGAACAGAACAGAATAGAAGAGAAAGAGCTAGAACAGAATGGGCATTGGTGTGTGTGTGTGCAGCATCTCTCCGGCCCGCCGCCGTCGGAAAGCATGACGACGGACACACGGCTGCTGTCAGACACGATGCATCATTAACACACACATCATGCAGGTCGGGCTCACCTCGCCCCGCTCGATCCGCTCCACGATGCTGGCGAACTCCGTCATGTCCTCAGAGTCCGACATGGTGACACACAGACGCCGCTGCGCCGAAACGGGGACGTGTTGAAAATGTAGGAGGAGGAGGAGGGAGAAAACAAACGCGATCAAAAGCTCCACAGCATCACAGGGGCGGTGAGGTGAGAGAGAAGAGCCGCTCCTCACACCACATCATCACCGTCCTCTCTGCTCCCTCCCCCCGGCGCCAGGTTCATTTTAGTTTACCTCATCTTGGAGGGAAAACCCCGCCCCCGCCTCCTGGTTATAGGTTCTACTGTAGCATCTCCCCCCTCCTCCTCCCCCTCCTCCTCCTCCTCCTCATCCATCGGCGGCGATGTCTCCGCTCACAGAGCTCTTTGTGCCCTTCTGCGCTGTTACACATCAATCCGTTTTATTACTTGTAAATCATCGTGATCGTGATGGGAGATTAAAAAGGGCAGAAAGGGTTTTTTTTTTTAATCGTTTAATGTCGCGTTCTGTCACGTTGGGCATTTACGCACGGCCGGCAGCGTGCCCGAGTGCGCATGCATTGCTTACATTTGCTCATTGTGACCCAAATATGTGACGGCAGCTCTTGACTCGCATGGCAGTCTTTTCCTGCGCTGGGCGGATTGATTCCATCTTGAAACACTCAAACAGAGGCCTATATTTTACGCATGAGCTGGAATCGGAGGCGACTGTGACGTGGGGCCAGATTAAGTCCCCGTCTCTGTATTTTTTTTCAATTCTTTTTTGCAGGCAATGCCACTTGTTCCGTGTCACCAGATGGCCGCATGGCTTCATGCAGACATATTCCACCCATTGAGCACATGGAGAGGGGGGGGGGGGGCGCAGACGATGCTTGGCACAGATATTAACTAATCTACTCGCTGTTTCCTGAAGCGGGTTTACTGCAGTGGAATTCAGATTTGCAATTTCATGCATATCAGAAAATCTCAGAACAACCATTATTACCTTGAAATTGGGTCACTTTGCCAATGTCTTTGTAGCCCAGTTCTAATCTTAGCAGTGCTCTGCTCTCAATGACCGTGACCTCCCCGTGGTGGAACTAGGGGAAAGGTCAGCAGATTATACCAAAGTGCTCAGGACCCATCATCATCTGGGACACGTGGAAGTATGTATCACATTCCGTGGAACAACGGGGCCCCCGTCCTTGAAAACAAGTGCAGCCTGCTTGAAGGGGCCTCGCTACGAAGTGACGGCGCTCGCAGGTCAAGTGGCAATATCCATGCGTTCTATGGCCTCCTCAGGGGACTCGGGGCAAAAATGAGAGCAGTGCTGCATGGGCTCAATGTGTGGAGGTGGCACTCGACTGCCCGATTAAAAACCCATAAACCACACTGCATAATCAATCAAATGCATTGATTGGTGCGTTTCACCGAGCAGAATTGATTCAAGTTAAATAACTACAGAGAAAGCATGCTGTTGAATGAGCACATACGAGCACCGGGCGGCTTGTGGATCGTTGAATATGTCATTCCTATCACATGACGCAAAGGGGTGGAGCTCCATTCAGGACAATGATGTAAGCAACAGTTTTACAGAAAAACTGAAACAGCAAAGTTTACCAAACCAGATCTGTATTTGTTTTCCTCTTAGCCTCAGCTACTTGGTGGAGGTATTATGTTACAGTCTGGTGCCACCCAGGTGTCTCTGGAACAAGGGACCATATGACCTCACCCAAACCACAGCTGGCCGTCATGGAAGCATCTCCTGAGACCTGAATCTGGGCTGGGCTTGTACTCAGGGTGGAAGGAACAACATTCACAACCAATTTTGCCTTCGTTCTTAATGTTGAAGTCGCTTCCCCAACTTCAAAAATCATAAAACTTGTGATTAAGTGCATTTGTTTCAAATGTTTATGGCCTTTACATTTAGATTAGATACAAGAACCACCAGGCCAACTTGTTTAGATCAAATGACCTCATTGGTGCCAGGCGTGAAGTCTGTGACTGAGCTATGCATCTCCCAAGTGGGACGGTGTGTGTGTGTGTGTGTGTGTGTGTGCGTGCATGGCATGTGTGTCCTATATCCAGCAGAACTCCCCTCCCCCCAATGCTTTTAATTATGTCTGTCACTGACCGAGCAACAGAATTTAAAGGAAGAAAAATCAGAGCGAGCTACTCAAACTCACCCGAGCAGGAAGAAAAATCAAAGGCAATTAAGTCAAATTAGTAAAAAGGCCTTACCAGTTAGTCTTTGAAGTTAAAAATAGAACAACAGATGAGTCATCAAGCCACAAGGTCCGCTGGGAAAGGAAATACAGGCCGTCTTTTAAGTAGAAGCCCAACTATTTTGCAGAAGGAAAGGTGCTATACCTTAGTGCACTTGCAGGGTAAACACATATAGGAACCAACTTCAGCCTGAAGGAAATGCCATTTTAGATGGATGCATTAACTCGTTTCTGACGAGTAAAGGTAACAAACCTTGGATGTTAACTGTGCATGTCATCAAAATGTAAAAGTCCATTCCCCGAAGTGATCCCCATGCGTCCTGTTAACCCGATCGCACACTGAAACCAGAACAATTGTAAAAGTTAGTACGTGTTTTTATTGATCATAAATACAGTTTGCACCGCCGAGCTGGATCCAAATTATTGTCCTCAAATTCCAAGTTGAAGTAGGAGAGCGCGTCACATTACATTTGCATATCCAACTCCTCTCCCCGTCTCACTGATGTCACTGTAAACATTGTTTCATCTTGAGCACTTGCAAAATAGAAGTCAGATATTTATAGACATTTACATATTTATCTACACTAATCGCTCTACAAAGCATACAAAAAATAAATTCCATTACATTTAGTGTGACATTATTGATATTAGTCGATGGATTGAGGGTTCACGGCGGACTCCGTGTGGCCAGTTTGGCTGCATCTCAAACGTCTGTCGCCACAGTCCGAATGCGGCTTTCACTGCGGCCTTTTCGAAACAAAGAGAGAAAAGGCCTCCGCCCGCTGCGGGACGGAGGGCATCGGGTGCACGGTGACGTAGCAGAAAAGCAGACACAATATAACAGTTGTTGAGACGCAATAAGTGGCAAATCATCCGGCACTTTTTTTGTTTTTAAGTCTGCTAAGCATTTACTGAACCTTGTGGGAATACACAAGACGCGACTGATGAAACGCCCCCCCCCCCCTCACTCCTGCCCCCTCCCTCCGGCTTATAGCTGATTGAATAAGTGAAGAGCAGGTTTCCATTTCCTAGGATTTGAAATGCCCTTTTGCTCAAGTACGGCCGAGCTAAGCCCGATTTAAGCGCGCTGTACGTGTAGCAAAATCCAAAAAGGGAAGGAGGGAGCACTCAGAAAGCGGTGATTCATACGACGCACATTTCAGAGTGGCCTTTGAGACTGCGGCTTTGCCACGTGACGCGGCCACAGAGGAGGAGGAAGCACAGCAGTTGAAACTTCTCACTTGGGAAGAAGCATTTGAGACATGGCCTTCAGTGTATCATAACCAAGGAGATTCAGGACACATCATTACCACATTACACAAAAACATTGATACCAGAATATTATTCGGGGAATCCTTTTTATTCACCCATTTTTATCATTTGTTGGGTTTATTCTTTGTGTATCCGAGGCTCAATTCGGCATGTGTGACAAAAGTCATAGCTTGCTTTTCCCAACTGTAAAAGTATTATAAATATTTGATGGTAACTAACAAAAATGGCAGAAGAAAAGTCACCAAGAGTAACTGCACCAGACCTCAATGACTTAGGCAAAACAACAACATCAAAACAACAATATATAGATGCAGTTGCACAAAAATAAGGCTCCTCAACACGGGGGGGGGGGGCAAGAGGAGACTCCAGCCACCGACGGATCATCATACATTATAGATGGTGAAAATCATTTATTTATCCACCTCTCCGATCTCCTTTCTTCTTACCTACTCTGTTTTCAAGCCTGAAATAACGGGGGGAAAAAAGGCAGTTTGGTGGGAAAGGAGACGAGGAGATGAACATCTGGCAAGAAGACTGTTCCACTGCAGAAGATGGCAATTTAAGACTCAGAGCGTTGTTTGTGTAACACGACTGTCTGAGGCCCATTCTGCTAGTTTTTTCTTTCTTTCCTAGCACTGTTCAAAAGAATACATTCTCCCCCCAAGTCATGATGCGTATTGATTTCCGGCTGGCCGGCGCCTCACGGGGAGTATGAAGCTGGAGAAGGAGGGTGGCTCCGATCGGTTCAGGGAGTACGAACATTGAAGAACTGGTCCATTTTCTCCGTCGGCCTCTCAAAAAATACTCAATGCAATTTTTTTTCTACCGTTTTTTTGATTTTCTTCTCTCATCATTGATTTGCCTGTTGGGGTATTTGTTGGCTGTCTCTTCTTTGAATTCCACTCCAACAGATCTATTATCATTTACACGTCTCGGGAGCACAAAGCAGAGCCTGTAGTGGTGCAACTCCTGGGACCCGAGAGCTTGAGGCTCTGAAAAGGTTGGAGACGACGTGAGGATTGAGATGTTAGAGGGGCACAGAGGCTGAAAATACTGGAGAAGAGGACCGTGGGGAAGGGAGGGGGGTGATCAGAAGATGCAGGGTTGGTAAATATAAAAGAAAACCTTTTAAATTTCACCACCAAAAAGGACCACTGGGCTCATGCTGGTTTGCAAAAAAAAAAATAAAGAATTAGAATTAGTAACTCATTCACTATATTTTACTGGGGCACCATTCAGCCTCGGTGAACGTGCATCTACTTAATTAATAATTGCACCAGCCCACAGCTACTGCAGAACCATTTAAAAAAAAAAAAAAAAGACACAATTTGGGAGTCAGGCTCTTTCTTATGTCCATGTGAGGCAGATATTTCATCCTCGGCTTGGGAGGTGTACAGCAGATTGTTTTAGTTTTTCTATGAGTAGGAGCAGCAAGCTGTAATACTAGTTTAAAAATATATATATATATATATGCAAAATTGAGGCATCTGAGGCATCTCCAGTGCCTCAAATTTGACTTTCTGGCACATCATTTTATCACCCCAAACCACGATGTTATTTACTACATATAATAAAATTAAAATAAAAAAAGGCAGCAAGAAAAAAAAAGTGGGGCGTATATTGCTCAACACAAAAGTTACTGTCGATTGACTCCCTAAAGTTACCGGTGTGTAACTGGGGACTTGAAAACCTTCTTGATTGCTGTAATTAGAAGGCCTCTTCGATGGGCGGCCAAACGTCTCGAGGACACACAGCAAAAGTCCGACCGCCCGTGAGTGACTGACTGCCGGCGGACGTCCCCGACTGCTGAAGCCGGTCGGAAACCAAGCCGCGGAGCTTCCCGCTGTCAGTGCCGTCGGCTGCAGCTGCCGCCGTTGTCCCTCCACGTCAGCTGCAGCTGCTCGGCGTGCTGAAAGGCCCTCTGGGTGATGTTAAGAGCCGGGTGCACCTTCCTCAGGCCCGGCTCGCCAATCAGAGACAACCCACACAGGCCCAGGTAGGCGTGGAGAGGGTCTGGCGGGAGGGAAAGGAGGGGAAACTAGGTCAGCGCTGGTAACGTGCAACACAGAAGAAGCACCTGAAAGTGACTGGATCGAAGATGAGAAGGCGGTCGTGTTTGTTACTTCAGTCTTAATCACCCTCCAGGATCAATAAACAATAACCTTATTTCTCAGGGAAAATAAGTAAAGCAGGAGCATTGTTTTGTGTTGTACTGCCCCTTTAAGGAGACATAAATAATGCGCATATAGGTTGGCCCCATGTCGTTTCACCTCCTCTGGGACCAGAGCTAAAAGCTGCACAGGCCAGTAAATGGACCACTAATTGAATTATAATTAAGTGACAGATGATTGGACAGAGACATCCGAATCAATCAAAGCGCCATCAGCCGCATCCATCAGGATTCGTATGGACTCCCACTCAAGGTTGTGCAGTAGAAGGAGTGTCTGGATTACTCCACGGTTCAAATAAGGACATTTTTAATATATTACGTATCCACAAACTGATGTGGAGCAACTTCATGAAAATGACGCAAAACAAGAAGCATTATATTTTTGGTTCCACGTAGAACCAAATAAATCATTTAAAAAACCTTTGCAGAAGATTACAAAAGGTAAGTACCTAAAATTATCTAACTTTCAAAGGTTAGTTTTAATTAAAAGGTGATCGCTATGAATGAATTATTCCCCAGCTGGACATGAGAATGCTGAGCTTCAAACCATATGCAGAAGTGCATAGTCGGATAAACAGTCGACCACTACAAAAGGAGAAGCCTGTGTGATAAACAGGAAGGGGCCGATTACTGTTATTGGATTTCCAAAGTGTCGCACACACAGTAACATGCCACGTTCTTTCTTCGGACTTCTTTCATTGGCACTTGGCGGCACCGCAGCGGGGAAACACGCTGCCAACACAATGTCAACATCATTTCTTTCAGGTCCAATTCTGTGGTTGGATCAAACTAGTTTTTGAAGAGTTCTCTCTGGCCCGGGTGACTTCCGGCCATGACTGGACAAAGAGTCATAGGAGAGGACAGTTTAACAGAAGGTGGCCTGAGCTTCTCAGGAAGGACAAGTGACCTTGAACGATCAGAACCCAGGACGTGTGTCCACAGCCTGAGAGGTCGGTGGCCGTGGGTTGGCTGAATACAGCTGTGATTTACAGCAGCACGAGGGGATGAATCGTTGAGGTGTGACCTCTTACAGGCATTGGCCTGTCTTCACGCTACGCTGAAAGGTTCCACTTACAGAGGATTGTTAACTCATGCAATTTGTTTTCTGTCTGCACAGGACTTACAGCTTAAGACAAGCCTGGAAATGCAGAAGGGAGGCAGTTGATACAATTGAAAAGATACACAATTTTCTACCGTACTATACCCATCGCCTTGTCACGAACTGGGTCTGTATGCCGTTTGGTGATGAGCAAATAACGGGAAGTTCTGGCAGTTCTGTGAATCAATGCTGTGCTTTTCAGAGAGTTCGGAACACTTCGACAAAACAGGAGCACGTCGTGCTTTCTGCGCCTAACGCCGTTAATCACAGCGCCCAATCAAATGATGGATTTTCCTCAAAGAAGCCTTCAAACCAAATCAATTATTGGTTTATTATTTCCATCTCTTTGGCGGTGAAAATAGCTAAGGATGCGTTTCGTGGACGGATGCCCTTCACTGGGACTAAATTCAATCAATATGGGGTGGATTCTAACCGCCGTGTTGTTACATAATACCAACTGTTCCTAACATGAACCATCAAACGGCTGATGATGAAGTACAAAGCCCCCCTCTTGTTCTCCGTTTGTTACCTTCCAGTCTTACCGGATCAGAGGCTGTATATGTGTATATATATGGACTCGCACTGCTCAAGTACATGCGAGTCCAACGCCATCTGTGGCCATCCCGTTCATTTCCAGAAAACTCCCTTTTGTCGGGTCATATTTGCGAGGCCTCTTTGTTTCTTCCAGCCGGTCCTTCCTGTAACGTGAGGAGCTTGATCTCTTACGTTCTCGGGCTACACATGGACAATCGCCTCATCAATTACACATTACAAGGACGGGAAAGACAACAAGAACACACAAGCAAGTGCATCATTGAGGTTTAGGATTACAAGAACCTTTCCATTGATCTCAGGTAAAACTGCCAACCAGAACTCCACCCTGCAGTCTGTGGAGGGAGGGGTACAAACTGTTCAGTCCTAGACAACAATTGACCCTGCTTAGTTCCATTATCATATTGTCCTTGAATAGAGATCTTTGAAGATACTGAGAAGTAAACGGCAACAATATGTTGGACAGCGACCGCTTCATCGTCTATTTGGGTTTCCACCACACGTACATTAAACACGGCTTTCAACCACTACCACGGTTGACCCCAAAAAACAAACACGTACGTGGGATCTGTGTCCCTCTTACTTTAACAAAAGGATGGGAACAAACCACGGCAGTCTTGTATGGTCAGCATTGCTCCATCTGCTGACTGCGAGATGCCACTGACCTGGATGGCTGTCCGGCCACTTGGCGAATCCTCCCACCAACCGGTCCTGCGTGGACAGGATGAAGCTCCTGTTCTTGTCAAAGTTTGTATACTGGAACACGTCTAAGAGCTGCGGGGAAAAAGAAAGCACCAGCGAAAGAAGGGAAGAGGTTTTGCCATGAAATTCTGGGAATCAAAACGAAAAAAAGCAGACATTTGTCAAACACTTAAAACACATATTTGATTCCAAAAGAGGCAGAGAATGTTGTCCTTAGTGAGGCGATACTCAGTTCATTAGATTCAAGTTTACAAAATTCATTTGAGTGAAGAAAACATCAACCTTTAATGTTGCTCATAAAGCACTTTTTCCAAAAACAATAAAAATAATAACAATTTTTGTGCACATTTGTTCCCTCTGGTGCAGTTTTGACCCAGAAATTCAGTTTTCCTGCAGCGCGTTGGCTTGTGTGTGCGTGTGTGTGTGTGTGTGTATGTGTGTCCCTGGCTTACTCATAGCTAGCTGCAGTTAGGCTCAGTTTCCTTGACCATTTTACCTCTCGTATCGTAGTGACACAAATGCTGACCGGCTTAGGGTGGAACGCGTGCGTGCAGAGGATTAACAAAGTGATATCGACAATGTGAGTATAAATAGTGCTTTACTGCAGCCAGTACACTTAATAAACGTTATCTTTCGTTTGAAAAATGGTAAAATGCTTAAATACACTAAACATGCTGAAGCATGTAGGTGTGTGCGCCTGGTACACCAGCCTGTACCTCTAGCGTAGCTCCCACCCAGAAGGAGTAGCATGTGTCTACAGGTTTGTTGGGGCGACCGTGGAAGCCGCTCTGCTGCCTCATGATGCACCAGCGGCGGATCCCGTCCAGCTCGCGCTGACTCAGCGCCTCCTCCAGACGGCCCATTAGACACAGAGAGGCGATGGCGCAGTACGTCCAGCCCCCTGCACACACACGGACACACACACACACACACACACAAAAAAAGGTCTGGACATTTCTTCACACATTTCATCAAATTAAATCAAGACTACTGCTTTTTAAACTATCTAATCAAATTGAAGAGCAGTTCTAGCGCTCCTGCCCCTCCCTTCCAATATGTTTTGATTACACACACCTTGGTGATTACAGGGCACTGCAGTAAGAACAGAGGGAGGGTGTGTGTGTGTGTGTGTGTTAGTGTGTGGTGGGGGTATTTCACCGCCAAATATTTCATTGCATGCAGCTACTCTTGACGCCTGTCCTTTTTTAAAATTCTTTCTTCTTTTCTGCAATTTTTTTAAATTCTTTTCTGCACAATGAACTTTTGAGCTAGTCATCCAATGACGCATTTGCTCCGTGATTGATGACAGGCGGTTATCAGTGCAGCCACAAGCTGCAGCGATCCATCACCTGGCAGCCGCTTTCATTCTCATCAAGCCTCTGACATCACCGCCTTGGCCGGCTGCTTATCACGGTTTGTTTGTGTGTGTTGAGAGGAACACAGGAAGAGGCTTGTTGAGGTGTTGGGAGTCAGGGGTGTAACACTCGCCCCTGATCAAACGCGTCTAGCTTGCTGTCTGCTGGAAGCACAGGAAGACGACTAGGAGGGCATCAGTCTGAATCAGAAACAACTGAGGGGAATCCAAAACGATTCTCTCTAACATTAGGGGGACAATTATTCACACCTGAACGGAAGTATTTCTACATAGCCTAAAGACGAGAAACACAGTGCAAATAACAAAGCAGGGAGATAAAGGCCAACTCCACTGAATACATACCCGCGCAGGAAGTTCATTTAGTACCCTGGAACACCATGTGTCACATATTGAACTACATAAAAGCCTAAACAATAATCATCTATGAAAGATTCTGGAAATGTGCAGCGCACAGTGCGGGCGGTCTTGATGTTGAATACACACACTCTTCAAGGACGGATGGGTAATCGGTATCAACTGTAGTTCTCTACTGATGTGTAATCGGCCCTCCTACACACAGTTGGCTGTGTGCAGAGTCTCAATGAAGACTGTAATCATAGAAGTGCAATTTATTACAAGCAGGGAAATTACCCAGATGCACCAGGATCAGACCCTCCACACAGTTTATATAGCCGTAAATTTAATTAACGAAATTGGCCCATGGATGTGCTCCAAGCAGTTCTCGTGTGTGTGTGTGTTTGTTTAGGATGAAGGCTTTTGTGTGAGAAAATGTCTAATCTGTGTGTGTGGGTGAGCGGATTAATGAGGACAATGTATTCTACAGAGATGGATTTTAACAGCTAATCTTTTAAACCAGTTACTCCCGTTGGCCACTTTCATGCCCTCTTCTACTACACCGCCAACGCACCCGAAAACCTTTTCCATCCAATGTCAACCTCGAGGATTTTTGGTTTGATCTAGGTCACCAAGTACACATGCACCGTACTTTCCAGCTTACTAGATCACCCACGCAAGTGGACATTTCTGTAACTAGGTATGAGCAGTTACACGATGATCATACTCACCATGTGACTCTCGGCCGGCTCCCTGGCCAAACCCACTGTCGTACGACTGTGAAGAGGGAAATGAAGAGCTATTAAATTACAAGCAATATTTCATCCGTCATGAAAGGCTAATGGGATCCTGGCAAAAGCGCTGAACTGCTTGGATTTACTTGGGGGCACTGCTTTAAAATAGTGCAGGACCGAGGTGGCAACCATAACGTCCTATTGTCCCCACAGTATAATGTCTTCTCACCAAACTTCCTCTGATGTATTCAATGGCCTTTTGGATGTCCATGCCCGACCAGTCATCCAGGATGTAACAGATACTGGCAGCGCAGTAGATAAACCGTATGTCGTTTTCACTTCCTTCTGGCACCGCGTAGAAGCTGGGAGACACAGAGCGACACGCAGACAGGAGGGTTGCACAAACGGTCGAAAATGAGCTGAATTTGCAGAATTTCAGTCATGTCACTAAGATACGCACGTTGCCTGAAGTTGCTAAAGGGATTAACACAGATATATTTTTGTGTGAACAAAGAGGTATCTCCCGCACGATACGCCCGTGTGTGTGAGCGAAGCATCCACTGTAGTGGGAACATTTGACACGAGTTTGTGTCGGTCCACATTAAGACTAGTGTTCACATGACTGCGGGCATATTTGAGTCAGAGGGAAAGTGCCGGCGTGAATCAGAGTTTAAAATGTGTGCGTGCGCGCGTTTGGGTGAGTGCGTGTTTCTGCCCTGACCTGCCGTCCTCCAGCTGCAGCGCTCTGAGACCAGCCATGCAGGCCTGTTTGTTGACGCGGCTAAGGTCGTCCCCGAGTATCAGCAGTGAGCACAGCCCGGTGTAGGTCATGGCTACATGGCCGCTGTCATACGGGTGGAGCACACCGGGACCCTGAGGACAATTTCAAAAATGAAATATTATTCATACAACTGACAAAGACAATGGCCTAAACATAGAAGGAAGGAGCACTTTACATACAATATATTAATATAAGGTCAAACATGGGATGAGGTCCAAAAACAGTACCTTAGTGCTATAAGGAATTCCAATATGTGACGATCCACGAAAACCACAACGACTAAGGTTTGCTTCTGGAAGAGAAGGACAGGAGAAGAGAAGATAAGTAAGAAACGTACTGGAGAGAATCAAAAGAAACTGCAACATACTCGTTCTGATTTACTCTCTCACAAAGCAGGTAAGTGGATGCTCAGCATGATTAAAGATTAAATAAAGTGTAGTGCTGCCACCTACAGGCCATGAAAGAAATACTCAATATAACAGAACCCAATTAAATAAAATGCATGTCAGTGTCAACCCAAGTCCTATTGCTATATTACATTGTGTCATACATTACAATTGCAAGACATGAATCATGGTCACTTATTCTTTCAAATGTGTATAAAAAGGCAGAAAATGTCAACAGCATTGATGTATTTTCACTTAGCATATTAATACTCAACAAAAAAAACCTCACCAAATCTGGAAAATTGCACTTAAAAACTAAATCAGGGCCAGAAATGACACATTACAAAATCTCAAGTGGCCCCCCCAAGCCGTATTTTCACCTGACAGAGAGCCAGCCAGACAGCAAGCATATGGCAGCAGCCACCATTAGAACAACCAGACACGGCCATCCCCACATGCTTTCTGCGCTGCCTTGAATAATTAACTAACTGGGCATGAAAACAGATGGCACAGAGTTTCTTGTGAGAGAGAGAAAATAAATCATTAAATATTTAAAGACCAACTTCCCCTAATGAAAGAGGTGTGGTTGGAAAAGGCACGGCGAGGAACCGCTATGGAAGCCGATAGCAGTTGCAATCTCCAGAGATGAGGAAATATTTTATAGAATTAGAAGTTTGCAGACTCTGAAGTTGTAAAAGAAAAAAAAAAGGATGTGAAGGACATTGGTCTGGTACCCGTTTCCTGAGCCAACTCTGTATTCATTCCTAACCTCAGTGAGGCGTCTTCTGTCTTTTTTCAAAGATAAAACAATATTGGAATATGTTGTCAATAGTGTGTGGAAATCATTTGTTAAAGCTCTCTGTGAAGTCTTGCGTGTCGGAGGTGATAATTCTCCTTTTCACCTATTCGTGATGTGGGTAACGACACTTACTGCTCCATGTGAACCGCTCTTAAATCTTGTAATGCATCCTCTTATGATACACTTTTTCACATCAGCAGGTGTGAAGCAGTGAGAAGAAATGAGACTTACGGTCCTCTGTGGGCAGAACCTGTAGTGAGTAGATCCACTCAATCATAGTATTCCTATCGATCACATCCAGGGCGTCCAGCACATCGAGACCCGACAGGGCAAAAAATATGATCGTTAACCTGGAAATAAAAAAGCAATAATAACCTGGTCATTTAATATTGATAGCGATGCATTAACGAGTGAATGCATGGTGAGAACTAGGCATCAAAGAAGAGGGAACAGTCACAATATATTACTGGAGGATAGAACCAAACTCAACACTGTCTTTAAAAAAGTGGCCAACAAATACTGTTAGCCGTTGGTTAAAGTTGGCTTTTAGTAGATATATTTATCAGGTTTAGAAAAGAGGAACCTGATCAATACATTGAATGTAACTTGACGTTCACTTTTTAAATTAGCCCAATTGCAACGAAAATAACCCTTCACGGGTGTCGAGCCCCGCTGTACCCTTGGTTTCCTGTTTTACTACCGTAACAGCCCATCGGTCCTAACATCGCTGCTGCAACTTAATAGTGATGTGTGCCGTTAGCTAGCCCGCTAAGCTAACCTGCACTAGCCCTCATTCAAAACGGTTGAAGCACAGCTAGCTTGAATGCTAGTCCAGCCTTTCAGCAAAACTAAAGCAACGTTTTTCATCACAGTAAATGTACCTGGTGGTTTCCAGTGAGGCGTATCTCTCAGGTAACACCTGAAGAGTTCTCTGGAAGAATCGTACATGTCTATCTCTTAAAAAGTCTATTTGCTCAAATTCCTCAGACTGGCTCTCCTCTTCCGCCATCTTTGCATCCGCACCTATGAGGACTCTTTTCCGGTACGTTTGTTTTCAAAATAAAAGCAAAGCACGGCAGTTCAGAAATTATACTGAAGACGTAAAAACAAGTGCAAATCATGAATATTGACTGTAAGGACATTTTTGCTAACTAATAAAACTATTTTCAGTGAACCATTTCAGTAGAGGAAAAATAGACCACCAGAGATTAAAAAAATTGTGAAGTTTAAAAAAACATTTTATTTTAAAATAACTGTTTTGTGAAATGTGAGTTAATATAATTAATAGCACACATATTAGACAGGAACATGGTAACAGCAAGCAGAATTATGAACGCATTTCCGGGCCTCTTCGGTTGACTTCTATTGTTCTATTGCTCATCACAGGCCTTCTCTCCAAGTCGGAACAGCTCTGTAACAAAATGACAATACACGTCAATGGTTCAACAATCACCCACTACTACCCAAAGCCTCACACAAATGTTCCCCTTTTCAGACCTGTGAAACATCTGTAGCACAGGCCCTCCTCCTGAAGATCCAATGTGTTTCATTCGCTCCTCCCATCCCTTAGTGGGACGGGTGACCCTGGAGGGGTCTCTGCTGATGTGACCATCCACCTGAATGAGGAAGAAACATGAATCGATAGCTAAACCCCCAAGACTGTGTATTTAACATTTTAAAATGTATATGACTTTACCCTCTCCTTCATCTGAGCAGTGATCCTCCTCCGTCTCTCCTCTTCTTCTTTCACCCTCAGACGTTTCTCTTGAAGTTTTGCTTCCACTTTGTGAAGATCCTGCCGAAAAGCAGACCCAAGCTTTGTATTTTATACAGTTAAGTGACTTCTCTTCTAACATTACTCCACGTACTTTCTCCCATATTTAAAAAATAGATCTCATTCCAGGATTATTTTACAACTTGACAAAACAAAAAATGTGCTCCAGTGAGAAGCCACTTCAAAGTGGTAACGCCGGCACAACGGACACACAACTGGAGCTTCTTGGTGTCTCTCTAATTCTCAGGCTTCATACCCTTTCACTAAAGCGTTTGATGACCTTTGCTGCCTCCCTGCTCCTCTCGTCCATCTCCCTCTGCTCCTCCTCTTTGGCCCTCCTCTGCTGTTCCCACTCCTCCTCTCTCCTCAGCCGAAGCTGCTCCTCAATTGTCAGCTTTACTTCCAGCTGCCGGCGACGCTCTTCCTGAAAGAACAATTTTTTTGATAAAGCTAAAAAGGACACCGACCACGTTTACATCAATGTGTGTATTGTTTTCATCCTGTCTCCTGTCTTTTTCTGTATTTTATGAACCACATCGCAAATATTTTCACACACAAAGCACCATTGCCCGTTTCCTTTGTTGTATCTCCTCAGCTCGCTTCTGCTTCTCCTCCTGTTCTTTATTCCTCCTCTTCTCTTCCTTCCATTCCTCCATTCGTCGCGCTGCCTCGACCCTCTCCTCCTCAGCCCTTGAACAGACGAGGATAAAACCAAAATGACACCAAAGGGATGGAAGTTAAAACAGATCTTTATTTGTTATCATCACCTATATATACGGTGGCCGATGATACGGTCAAGTTTGGGAGGATTGTTTGACTCCTTCACAGCTTTAGCCAGTCTCCTCATCTTCACGCATCCTTTTTTTCATTCTACTCTGCTCTACCTCGGACTCACCTGTGTTGGTGGGCCTGACTATTGGCCTCCTTCTCCCTCCTTCCAGCCTCCTCTGCCTCCTCCTGACTCTGTATTCTGGATTGGCGTTCCCGGCGCCTGCTGGCTCTCCATCGCTGTATAGCCTGGATGTGGGATGAGGACCAGCACAACGTATTTAAAAGACTGCACCACAACATCTCCCTCTGAGTTTGAAAAAAAATTGAATTTTTCTGAAATCTGGATCATGTTCACTTAGGACGCCTTAGAAAATGACAATACAACTAAATGTAATGAAAAAGCACTCCAAGGAACATTAAGTCGGAGACAGTGAGTGAAATGGCGAAGGCTCATTTCCGGCTCTGCTCTACCTCTCTCTTTTTGGCCTGTAGGTAGATCAGCTCCTGATGCCATTCCTCGTGTTGCTCGATCTCCTCCAGCGTTAAACCAGGCAAGTACAGCTTGGCCTCTTTCCTGTAGGCTGCTCTCCCACCGTGCTTTGTCCAAACCTGTAAACCAAACAGATTAGATAAGGACAAGCAGGGATCACGAGGTGATGAACCTTCGGCTTGGCATCCGCCACAGCTGCCTGAAGCAAAGCGATGGACGCTGTTAGTTAGTCAGAGTGTGCAAGGATTCACAAGCAGGAAGGAGGAAGAGGAAAGGAGACTTTTCATTACAGCGCATGTTGTCAAGACAGAATGGCAATAATGTCTTACTCTTAGGAAGGCTTGGTGGTCGTATTGGTCCCAGCCACCACAAGCGCCCCCGGTCTTCAGAAGGAAAGACTCCAGCGCTCTGACCTCTGCAGGGGAGTCTCTGTCCAGGGGTTCGGTCTAGTACGGAAACATCATGCTTTGAATGAAATGCTGATGCGTGAAAAAATGTGATAAATATTATCCATCAACTCATAACACACCTTTTAACGATTTCAACCTTTTTTTTCTGTCCCAAGATCTCAAAAGCAGTAACAATGCGATATCTATTCATCACATTCTCACATTTAACATAAACACAAACTCGGCTGCTCCCTTTTTTACTGCATTAAAGATGACAAACTGGGGAAAAGGAGAAAAAGGAGACCATGACAGTTGGAGCCGTGTGTGGTTTGGGGTCCGATTTGAAGGAAATGCTCTCAGGAAAGTTTTCAATCTTCTTCTCATAAGCAGCAGTCTCCTGTCTGCATGTCCGCTCCTCCTTCAAAAGATCCTCAAAGCTGAGAGGAGCAGAGAAACATTAAAGACAATTATTCATATCTTGCACATATTAATTCCCAGTGTGGAGCCAACACTGATCAGAACCGGTTACTTGCCTAACTGGGCGTGGATCATCATGTCTTTTTTGTATAGTTTCAATCTTTTCAAATCTGCGCTGCCGTATTTTATTTAGCTTTATATTTTTGATGGAATTAAATGTGTATTGCATTGCAATACGTACAATAATATGTGTTATCGAATATTTTTGTGTATGTAACTGAACATTCAGTTAAAAGAGGTATTTCTTAATGTTTAATGTTTCTTAGGGTTGTATTTGGGTTTACTGAGTCAAAAGAACGTTTTTAGTGCATCCTGTTACCTTAAACGCTGTTCCTCTTTCAGGGCGTTAATAGAGATTTCCACCTCTGACATGATCTCCTTCAGTCTTTCGATCACTGAACAGCAAGAAGAAATTAAGAAACAATAATTCAAATCTGATTGTACATTAAGCTACAATCATCATGCTTGTATTGATCAGTGCAGTAACTTGATAATGGCTTCTTCTTACATCGATGTAGCAGAATGGAATAAATATTGATATAAATGATGAGAAACAAGTACTGAATGTCTCGCAAGATGAGTGAATGAATAATTTAATGAAACTATATGATTGTCTATAAAGGCACAAAAACCCTGCTAGATATAAAACTTACTCTGAGGAGTTGGCTTCACATCTATTAGCTGTCTTTGAAACTTCCTCACACCATTATGAATCTTCACTAGCTGCCTTTGAAGATTCATCTCTAAAGAAATGCAAAGAACATTGTTAAGCCACAGTTTTTATCAAATGGTTCAGCGTTGATCGGATGTTTCTGTTTGCAGTTCTGACTCTTCTTCCGGGAAGCAGGAGGAAAGGAGATGGATCTAAATCTCTACAATGCGAGTTATTCACACAAAATGGTACTAGAATTAGCTCAGACCCGCTTTAGAAACAGGGGGGATGTTAGCATAGTGTAATGCAGAGAAAGGACCTACTCTCAGCATTTCTTTTCTCCTCCAGCAGTTTTTCGTACTCTTCCAGTTCACCAGACATTCCTGTCCAGCCATTCCTTCTGCACTGACCACTCAATGTCCTCTCTCTCTCCAACTTTTCAATCCTGTGAAATGAGAGTAGAAAAGTTAGAGAGGTATGTTGAATCATTGACTAGTGACGGCACATTAATATTGAGGATTCATTTATTTCAAAGGCCCCAATTGATTTGACGTGTTACAGTGATTGGTAATGTAAATATAGCACGGATAAGGAATGCGCCTTTCTGGTTGTGTAAAATGTGTGTTGACTCTGCAGCACCAACTCAGTTGTTGAGCAGTATGAAAGTGTTATTTCACTTTCCACTAAACAATCAAATTATTTGAGGTCTAAAAGTTACACAAACAAAACACACACCACTGTTACACAATCCAATACATTTGTCATTTGATTGTGTAAATTCAATTTCGAAGCACAAATTGACAGATTTATATATTGAGCCCCGTAATCAGTGGTAATGTTGTATTTCGTTTTGTTTTGTAGTGCGTTCTCATATATATATATATATATATATATATTCACTCACATCCTCCGGTTCATCTCGGCTTCTCTGAGAAACTGCGCGACTCTCTGCGTGACGAGCGTCTGATCCACGCTGTCGCGGCCGTCTCCTCCCTCTCGCTGCGCAAGTTCGTTCAGAGGGGAGACAAACACAAACAGCTGATCCGAGCGCGCTGCTAAACAAGGATGTCGCGTGCAAAAGTGAATTAAAATATTGAGAACCGAGCGTCCGATAATGGAAGCACCGCCGTTTTTTACAGGCTAGCAGGGGAAACATGTCCGCTTACAAATACCACACAAACAGTACAAATAAAGACACGTGACCATTGGACTACGTTAGATAGCAAGCGGTCCTCCCAGTCTCCTGTAACTAACGTTAGCTAAGGTTAGCTGACGTTAGCTAGCATTGGTTAACGACCACTAGCTCGTCGGGCGTCCAACAGCGCCTCATCTACGTGTGTCCTTGGATACCTTAAACATCCGAGATGAGTAAATTAAAGTCGACCACATGACCCACATTCACTACATTCGACATCACATTAAATATATCTGTGGTAGCTACCGAGGAACGTTTATCAGCACTTCCAGCGGTTGCTAGGGCGGCCATGTTTAA